AGTCTAAACCTAATATCCACATGTTGTATATATAATTTGGCTATATAAAGCCTTTTAAGAGCAATTGTACAACAGTGTTTATTTTATGGCAAACGATGGTCTCTTGGGCTGTAACAAAAGTCATTCTTATCTTATGCTGGAATACACCATGCCAGGTATAGAAATAATTACCAGTTGTTTTTTTGGAAGCATGAACGGAAATCAAACCCCGCTAAAATGTTGAATCATCTTATTAGCTTTTCTTACATTAATAAAACAAAAACTTTGAGTTTTATGTTCGAGATTCGGAAGTATGTGTACCAAGATGACGCACAACTTGAACCCTAACCTGGTACACATACTTCGGGAGCACCCGAGATTCAAAGTATCACCTTATTCCAAAGGTTCATATAGCGTTCTGCTATTTGTTTTTCATCATCATTTTTCAAATATTCTTCTAGTTTTCTTTTTTCAAATTTTTCGTATGAAAAACCTTGACACCTTGATACAAAAACATTTTAATAAATGAGTGTTTAGCAGAAATGTAGGTACTATAGATTTAAAAGCAGCCGCGCCGCAAATAATATTCTATTATTATTAAATAATACTAGTCAACTGCATAAACAATAAATACCGTTCTATCAAAATGCGATGTAGATTCAACACAGTCTCCAAACCTTGGATGAGATTTATATTTTCAGTAGTCAGTACAGTTTTGAGAATACAGCCCATCGCTGCAAAAGATTATTTTTATTGTTCATGTATTGTCCACTTTTAGTAATTATTAGCTGTCTAATAAATATTTTTTAAGTTGCTTATTCAATCAGTCTATTCCCGAATGCATCACTAAATTAGCACTACTTGACATTTTACAACACACTTGTAAGTACTGGGATTTTTGATATCGCATAGTCGTTCAATTACTTGTCGGTTATTGATGAAAGTAATCGAATAACGGAATAACTCTCACTCTTTTTTGATTCATCCAGAACTTGCTGGAGTCGTTCAAGACAACAAAGTTCAGTATAGCAGCAAAGTGATTCTCTTTTCCACAACAGATTTTCATCCAGGTCATCATCAGTCATATCACCATCATGCAAAAATCTGTACAAATGAAAAATAATAATGAATATGATCCGAATAGAACTATCACACCTTACACCAAATTGAAAAAATCCTGAACTTAAATTCATAGAATGTAAGTTATTTTAATAATATTGTGACCAGTAAAAAGAATCACACATATGTATTTAGGGGTGCAGCCAGGATTTTCAAAAGGGAGGGTTGTAAAATTGAAAATTCCCATTCCCTTCCGTGCTCGTTAAAAGAGTCGACATTTTTAGGGTATACCGACTTTTCTGTCACGTAAAATATTCAGGTCTTTACTAAGTGTGAATATCTAAAAATTCAAAAATAACGAAATTCAAAATTGTGTTTTGTGTTTCTTTCAACATCTAAACTAAATTGCCCTGGAAACCCTGCGGAACGACTTTTTCAACGATGAAAAATGATTTTTCGGTTGTGCAAAGTAATCAATCCATGACCGATACGAGCATATTTAAAATGTCTTGCTTCAATAATTAAGTTAATTGTCTGTGGTTGCTTTGACAAAATAAAAGCATAACTACAACGGCAATCCATGCACATACAAATGTGTAATAAACTACCCGAGTATATCTGGTTTTGATAAGTATTTTTGCCATTTTGTAAATTTGACAAATCTGAGCAACACTGACTCCGTTCTATCGCAATGCTGCCACTCAGATTATTTTTACGATAAAACTGTTAGAAAAATCATAAATTCTGCTATAAAATTTATTTTACTCCACCTACAGCATAATACAAGAAATACTTGAAAAGATCATTGCAATTAAACAAACCAAAGTCACCACATACTTGAATAAATTTGATTGCACCAGACGGCGATTTTTCTCAGTCTTTATGTTCTTCAGAGTTTCATTGACACTATCTACTGATACTGTAAAAGACAAGTATTTTTCTTGAAAATTGGTTTTCCACTGACATCTTCCTTCCTGCGTAACCCAGTCAAATATTTCCGTATTTGGAAGACACTGAAAAAATGTTAGCTGTATGAGAACAACTAGGTTTGAGTTTTAGGTGTTATGCGTTCGATGCTTAGCAATGCAACATACTTCTTGTTTATGGAATGCTGTGATATCATGACAAACGTACTATTGAGGTATGAGAAAAAGATTCAAGTACATACTGACTCAAGTATGAATATGATATAATATTTTCAATGTAATATAAAAGTGAAGTTCTGTCCCGGCTATTCTGAATTCCTAAATGTTTTAGGCATTTTCTCTGAATGAGGCACTTTTCAGATTTCACTTTCTCATGGAGCAACCTAGATTTCTTAAATTTAGAATGATGTGAACTCAAACTATATATTCTACAACATTGATATTGATAAAGTCAAGTGTGGTAACCACTTAGCCATCATCCTCATCATTTAACATTGTCACCCATCAAAGTACCCACTAAGTGAGAGAGTAGAAGCCAACTAACACAAAACTTTTCAAACCTCAGTATCCCATATTTGTTCCAGGACATGGTGCATAATTAAAAAAGTATCATGCATATCCATCTTCCACAAATCTTTCAAATTTCGCAAGATTGTGCAGAGCTCCTCTGTGAGGTACTTGTTTAATTCAGGTGTCCTTATCGACCCTTTGAGCATGCTAAAAACAAGATTCATTATTATGGTTCCCGATAGCACAATTTTAAACCTATAATATCTAATTTGAATAATGGCAAAATCCATCTGACAAGAGAAAAATTTTGTATAATATTTCCATCTCAAATTGCCACATGTTAGAATGCAACAGTTATCATAAATTATTGGAATCGTAATTTTTAACTATATTTTTATCAAGTATTTTATCTTAAAAAAAAGTGGTAACGTTTCAGCACTTTGTAAATTCAGTAAACTCACATTTTTACAGCCTCTGAATTATTAGTAAAGCCAATGAGAATACTGGCATGTAATATGAAGAGCACGATCAATGTGGTGTCTTCCCGGTATGAACCCTCATTTTCCGAAAACATTGTTGGTAGTGATAGCCTACTAGTATGACTCGGTTTCAAAGCAAACTGAGCAAAGCCAGACATCATATGGCAACCTTTATTTATGGCTGTTGCCACAAACATCACAAGTAACTGAACAGAGCCACACTCTTTTAGATTCTCAGCTGAATCAATATTTCTGAAAACTTGGCGAACTTGGTTATTTATTTTAATGAAGAATCCCAATTCGTTATCATTAGTAATATGACTGTTACGATTGAGGCCTTGCTTGTACTTCCTTTTTACTGCAAAATATAATTTTTCTCTGCTTGGTGGTTTAGCTGCTAATTCGGACATGAAATCATCACGTGATTGTAGAGGCTTTCTCAAGCCCCCTTCCACCTCGGTCAATATTGCATCAAAAAGGAGCCAATGGTCTGTGTCATACTCATTGATTGCAGTTTTCCACTTTTCAGGAATTAATCCCTGCAAAACAAATGGATGTTTTATTCATGGTAGCAGTTTTCCATAAAAATTTGCTCAAAGCAAGATTGAGTATCAAGAACTCATCACTTAGCACTGATGGGCCACTTATCAAATTATATGAAAGAAATGTCTGTAGATGTGAGAATCTCATCCGTTTCTATTATAATGAGCATGAATACAGATAAGATAAGAGGAAATGAATCCTAATTTAGCAGAATTTTAAAAACAAAAAATTCTACAGGGTGAAGTGAATTGTTTCGAGCAGAATATTCAAATATAGCAGCATCTCATAAACATATGGAATTATTTTTAACAGTAGAAATATTGGAATTTACTCAATGAAAAAGTATGTTTATAGATGTTATAGGCTAAAGCATTTTCTAACAATGTCTAATTTGGGAGTACATACTTTTCTGGAGAAATTTATTTAAATTCAAAACTTATGATGGCATGATAAAAATTTAAGTTTGATACTGTGTTTGATATATAATTAAAATTATGCACATTAATAAACGAAAAGGAATTGATATGAAAACAATCAAATTAATTTTTTTTCAGTTATAACTGTCTGTCATACCTTGGCCACTTCAGATTTCAACATTTCTCTGTACCAGTCCATACCAAATTGTTCACATCCAGCTTTGATGACAAGTTGCTTTACGTCAATCACTTTAGAGCGTTTGCAGAAATCAATGAAACTGTTAATATTATCGTCCATTTCTGTGGTCGCACATTGTTTGCTTTTCTCATACAGCTGAATGGCTAATTTTCTGCAGGCATTCCTTAAAGTAGCTATTGACTTTAATGTTTCAAGAGTTAGTTGGTGTGAGTGTAGTATTAAATGCTCTTTTTCCAAATCTTGCATGTCAACTGAGTTTGACTTCTCGAAAAGTAAGCGTTGTTCAAAGTGGTATATTATGAATTGTGATATTTCTCGTTTTTCATTTGCCGACTCTTGTTGCAAAGTTTTATTAATCTCTTCTGTGACAAGTTCTTGCTCATTCTTCACTAATTCTCCAAATAAACAAGCTTTTGTATTTATGTCAGATCCTATAGCGGATGATTCCAATTTTCTATCATTGTCAGTTTGGAAAAGAAGTGTGAATATGAGTTTGATGAAAGATTTCATTTTTTCTTCGTTTACAGGTTTCATAACAGATGAGAAACAAATAGTCTTCAAAAATTCAATAAAAAAGCTGGTACAACTGAACTGAAACTGTTGTAATCTTTTTTTATGTGACTTGGATAGAATATCAGCTTTGTAAGGTTCCTCTTTTGGAATAATGGTGAGGCATTGTGTGCATTTAGGTGAATCATCTATGAGTATCTCTTCGCAGCACTGGAGACAAAAAAAATGACCACAAGTTAGACATTGAGGATCTTCCATATCCTCTTTGCACATTTTACAAGTCATCTCCTCCCAAGATAGAAGAATTTTTATTCTTATATCATCGTAGCATCTGCCAAGAGTGTTACATACAATGATAGTAAAATCTTCAATGTTTTGTTCATCTTGAACCGAAACTAGCAATTCAGCAGAATTAGCAATCACTTCGGTGTATTCGATTCTGTATTCATCGTTGGGAATCAACTGTAGAAGTAAAACATTCACTAAAGATATTGGCAGCCATTTCAACATTAGTTCATCTTTTTTTTTTCTGCTCTTGTATACAATCATGTACAAGATAAACAGTTTTTTTGATGCTTTTGGCTTGCTCCAGCCAAGATAAACAACTTTCTGGATTCTCTGAAAAAAATGTTGTTTTTTGGCGAAGATCTTCTAATGCTTTAAGCATTCCCCAATGGTGTATATCTCCATCGTGCCAATTCCAAATTTTTTCCGGCATTACTGTATTTATGGACTCGGCAACTAGTGGGCTAACTTTGAACACTTCCCTCAGTATTCTCAATTTGTCTTTTAAATCAATAAATGTAGAATAAACAAGTGGAAATTTATCTGCTTGTTCGACATTGTCTTTGCCATCAAACGCTCTTTTCTCAACCAATTTAATGACAGCATTAACTTCAGTTTCCGGATGTTGTTCAGAACTTGGTGTGTAATGGCTATTGACCAAATCATGCACGTAACCCTGCAATAATTCTGGGTAAGTTGATATTCCATATTTAATAACAGGATATAAACTATGTTGTCTGAAAAATTTCACCAAACTTGCATTACAATCTTTCGAACTGGATTCCCATTCTGAAATTAAATGTGTTTGCAAACTCCCGGTAACCACACATCCAAAGGGAAATTCACATGCCATAGTTGGTCGTTCAGTTATTGGACTGACGGCTATGAATTCTTTATGCATCCAGTCTGGTCTCAGATGGTCAAAGGACAACTTCTCAAACATGCTTAGCCATATGTTTTCTGTTCGATCTCTATCTTGATGATACACATCAGGAAATTTCTCAATAAGATTCAAATTGCACTGCACATCGATATTACAAATGAAGTGAGCTATCAAGTTTGATATCAGTGTCTTCAAATACAAAAGCAGAGCTTTATGAAACGTTCCTCCTTCTTGTAGGCTCTTTTTATCATTTGCCAGGAGATGAATCCATTCATTGCATTTCAAGGTATCCTCACTCATTAAGATTTTATGAATCTTGTCCAGAAATTTGTTTCGAAAACTTTTGCCTATTTTCTCATCAGTTTGCAGAAGATTTGTGAGGGTCTTAACTCTTGCTTTATAGCGTGTGGAAGCAATTTGAGAACCTTCAATTTTAGTCATTGCTTTGCTGAGACTATCTTGCAAAAACTTTTTCATAAATTTGTTACTTGCATTTTTTGGTGCAAATATGTCAACGAGATTCGTATTCAATAGTGTTTCAGTTGAAAAAAAATTCTCACTGGCGGTTGGATCAGCTTTAGTTTCATCAGTTTGGAAGGATCTCACTTCATCGATATAAATAATTCTGTTGTCTTGCGCTTGTTGCATCAAGAATTCAGTATTTCTCTCAATGGACCACAAAACAATAACAATAATAGTTATCGAAATCCCTGTTTTATCTTTATTAGACCATGAATGCTTAGCACATTCAATTAGTTTTGCATACTTGTGAGCCTGGGGACACTGCAATACTAGAATTTTAGCATTTATCTTCTTAGATGTGTCTTGCTTATAGTCTCTGCATTCTTGTAAGAATATATCAACATCATGTTCAAATTCTCTTAGTGTGTAAAATTGTCTAATGTTGAGTATCATCACATCATACTTTTTCAAATTCAGATTTTTTTCCAACTGTTCTCGGTCATTACCTACAAGAATACCAGAGTAAGATACAATTTCAAAAATGCTAATAGGTAATTTTTTTTGAGTTCCCAATATTTCCAGAGTCTGGTTCAAGAAGCATGTTAGTTTGTAGTGACTCTGTTTTTCAAAATAGGTACTGTGCAACTTTTTCATTTTATCCAGGTCAATGATATTTTTTTTGATTCTGTACATTGCATCCAAAGTTGCAGATTGGAGTAAAATTACTTTGCATTCTTCTTGGTCTGGACGCAATAGCAGGGTTGAACTCACTGTATCTTTTTGATGACCTACCAAAGAATCTGATTTTTGGAAGTCAACTGCTACAAATAACTCTGTCCATTTTTGAACTTCTACCATTTTATCCTTTTCAGATTCTGGTAATAAACCATCTGAATCTAATAAATGCTTTTCCAGTCGATTAAGCAGAGGTATTGGATATTCTGTATAAGCTTTATCTTTTTTTTCAAGTATTATCAATCGGAAATTCTCAGCAACACAACATTTTAACCTTTGTCCTCCCAATCCTATGTCCACGTACCTCTTTCCTCCAAGAGTGTTGTAATGTTGATTCAAAGCGTCATACAGGGATTCTTGAATTTCTGCAAGAATTAACATTACCACAGGTGTTCCTGTTTCCATGCAAGTCTTTACCTCCTGTATGTTTCTGCAAATCTTCGCAAAAGTTTGATCTCCTGGAAAGGCAGAGCCAACGATGACTTTCATCTTATCAAAATTTTTTACAACCAGTGAAACTAGATTTATAGAAGGATAATAATTAGTTAGAAGAAGCAAGTATCGACTGTCCGTTTCACCCAGATTTGTTTGCACTACTTCTTTTATTGGCATTAAAACAAGTTCCGAGTGTGGGAATATTTTACAAATTTCACTTTTGAATTTCTCAAGAACATCTGATTCCATGCCTCCAAAATTTCTTCCCACTGCTTCGAATAATGACTTAGGATCTCCAAAGTGACCATTGCAAGATTTTATGAGACTGTAAAAATCTCTAAGACCAAAATACTTCACATCCTGATTAGTTTCTATGTCCAAATATACCTTTGTCAGAGTTTTCAAAATTTTTTGGGCATTGGGATGACTCTGCTCATTTATGGCACAAATTTCTGTTGCTGTTTTGTACAAATCTTCGTTGTCTGGATTTTCGTGAAAAAGAAAAACACCTCTGTTCAATTTAGCAGGGTCAAGTGGCCAGTTAGATAAACCAAGAAATGCAACTTGATGTCCTCGTTCATTATTTTTGATGCTGCCGAATTCAAGCAATGGATGAAGAACCTGAAAACAATAAAATAATTCAGGTTTAATTTTATCAGATTGTTTCATTTTTCATTGCTCTTATTGCTGTACCTCCATATAGGAATAATGTATTTTTTAAAATTGATTATAAAAAATTGACTAGAACTATTTTTTGAGTGATGTAGTATATATACAAATATGTGATACAAACGATTTGTTTATTTTCTGAATTGCGCTTCGCCAGCCCTTTCTTGAGTGTCATTTTGAATCAAAACCAACTAGGAGGAGATATCGATACATAAAAGTATCATAGTCGCTTACTCACTTGGTTTTTTACTATTCTATATGAAGTTATCGCAAAACAATCGAAGCCATTCACGGAGTGCATATACGGAGTGCATATTATGTATTGTGCTGATTGCCAATGTTTTATGTCCGTAAATAAAATAGGTGTTTGCAAACTCGTCGCGTTGTAGATAGTGGAAACTTTAATTGCAAAAACGGGAAATTTTCATCTTAATCCTTAGCGCTTCACGGCAGCACTGACATTAAGCTTACTGCACAGTTAGCGATCTTCTTGAGGGGAGTTAATGATGATTTTAAAATAACGGAAGAGCTCGCAGCGATTTTTCCTACTAAGGGTACTTCAAAATGCATTTATTTGTTAGGAGTTGAGATGGAAATGATCAAGCGTACTGGCTTGTCTTTGGCGAAACTTTCGGGAATAACCAATGATGGCGCCCCATCAATGATTGGGAAACAACAGTTTTATTGTTCTAATAATTGTGAAAGTTTGGTGTGAGGGTATTCTTTGTTTTTTCATTAACCTGTAGTCAGTGTAGCAAAACTAGAACACAACAACCATGTTAAGTGGCCCGCGCAATTATTTGTAAACTACATGTGGCCCTTCGGCCAAAAAGGTTGGACGACCCTGTTTTAAACTATGGCAATCAGGATGTTCAATTTGAAATCCTATTAGAATATTTACTATTACCCTGTAAGATTTTTCTATAAATGGAACTTACCTTGAGTGGCATAGCTGGTGAATCTTCTGCAAGACCGATTTCATCTAGCACAGCAACGGATGTAAATGTATTTGAATCATTGTTTTCTTGCATATCACAGCATTGCTCGAATGTGTGGATAATACCAGCAGCATCAGATAGAGCGCTACATTGGTAGGACATCAGATTTGCCTGTAAAATATATTTTGTATTAATAAGAGTTATTCGTTACCTACCGGTAGTACCTTCTTATCAACAAAAACTCACATACTTGTTTCAATTTGGAGAAAAGTTTAGACTCCGAAAATCTCCCCCTCATGCAATTCGATACTAATGTCTTTGCCAGGGATTTTGAACTGCCTGGTTTTCCAATGACGAAAAGGGGAATTCGCAAGTCTACACAAACGACCATCATAAAGAAATTTTCCATCAGTGCCCGGTTGTATGAAATATTCTCTGAGCTTTGAATTTGAGCTTGAAGTAAGAAAACTCTTTGGCAGGCTAAAAATTCTTGCAATAAGTCATATTCAGTCAAATTTGAAACACGAAGATTTTTTAATGTGTGGCATATCTTTTCTCTAAACTCCGATCTATTGTGTTGTAGAGAAGCGTGATAGCAAACATTTATTGCATGGATTAATTTGCGAAAATCCGGCTCAATGGATGGGAATGTCCCATCTTGATAAACATTATGCTTCTCTTCATCAATTAATGGAAAAAGCACATCACTATTGTTATGGAACCACTCATATACCTTCATACACCTTTCAACATCTCGCAGACTGACAAATCTAAACCCATCGTTATGCTCTTTGATGAATTGATGGGCTTCGGACACAAGTTTGCTAAGATCTTCAGTTTTAACAATGCTAGTAATATTCTTGGCAATCTGTTCAATATATAGATTTTCGGTAGTTTCATCAGCTTGTTTCGTGACCCAAACATAGGGCTTCATACTTGGAGGAAGTGGTAAAACTTTGTACACTAGATTTCGCATTCCACTGCCACTTTTTTCATCTGCTTGATTAGCATGGATTTTGCTTCCCAGTCCACAAGACATGAGATGCTCAATAGCAGTTTCTGACATTTCCTTATGCGGGTTACAAGCAGCAATTATTGTTGTGTTTTTCATCGCAACAGCTTCTCCATCGAATGTATTATCACACATGACCTCTTTGATTGCGTATATAGCTTCTGTTGTGTTAGCTTCATCAAAAAAAATGAGTCTCGTGTCCTGGTCCGTTTTACTTTGTGACCACACTTTCTCTGCTTCTTTGACACTTTTCTGAATATCAGAGGCAGTTACACCACCATACACCTTTCTTGTAATCAGGACTCTAGCATTTTTATCTGATGCCTTAAGTTTACTAAGAAATTCTACCATCCTCGTTTTTCCACATCCAGTTTCTCCTTCTAATATCACAGGAATCTTGCACTGAATTCTCATGTTTAATGAAATAATCTTTTGTAGATTATCTGTGGTCAATTTGTAAGTAGGGTCCGGGTCTTCATTCGAATTGAGGGCATCTGTAATCAATCTCAAAGTACGAAGCTGTTTTTCCCTTTCTAGATCGTCAAATTCTTCCACTCTATGCAATTTCCCCCCAATTTTATCTGATTCCTTGAATAATTTCAGGAGATTTGGTGGAACTTTCTTGACTTCAAAAAATGTCATATGAACTTCTCGTTTGTTATCCAAATTCACTTCATGAAAAAATATCATGGATTTGTCCTTCGGTGCAGAATTATTTTCATTGTCGTCAACTACGCCTATAAATCGTTTACCCATTTCAATTATATACTTCATCACTATGCTTTTGGCATCATTTATCAGTTTTTTGTTTTCTTTATACCAAATCTCACACATCTTGAGCTGAGAGTCAAGAAAAGTTACGAAATGCTCAATTTGGGACCATGATGCTTTGTCTCCACAGTACTCCAACAATATTTTGATGCATTCTTCTTGTGTGCCTTTCTCCTTATTTTCAGAATAAGTAAATTCATTCAGTGACTTCTCTTTTTTTTTTGGTGTTGTTATATACTCTCTATAGCATTTCAAGTTGTGATATGGCCGTTGAAAAAGTTGTGACTTGAACATTTCAGAATCCATAGCAATTGTATTGTGATAATATTCTTTGAACTTTCCACTAATAACTTCTTGAGGCTGAAGTGCCACGATGTTAGGAAATATATTGAGCATTGAAATCTTTGAATACTGAAATGACAACAGTACGGAAAAGCCAATATAAACTTTTATTCAAGCTTGCAGATCAATTTTTAAAAACAATTGAGCATCTCAAAAATGACTATAGTTAAGAAACATTTGTTATAGCTACTGTCAGTGTAGTCAAGATTTAAAATGGAATTTCATATTCAACCTTAATGTCATAAATGCCTCAATTGCAAGCCTCAGAAACTCTTAGGCGGGCAGTTTACCACACATTTTTATGTTCGCGGATTGCCGTGGTATCATAGAATAGTGATGCTATTATTTTGTGACACAACCGCAGGTTAAATTGAAGACAACCAAATTCATATAGTAAGACTTTTTAAATATGCCCATATTGGTCATGGGTTGATTACTTTGCACAACAGAAAAATCGGCGCTCCCGAAGTATGCGAACCAAGATGGCGGATATTGGAACGTAACATGGGTATCAGGTTAGGGTTAGGCGATAATTTTTTTTCCAATTTTCCTTATTTTAGTCCTATTATCAGTTCGAAGACTAGCCAAGAGCCTCCCGTAGTATTTATACCTAAAATTATGGCCTAACCCCAACCTAGTACACATATTACATTCCGATGTCTGCCATCTTGGTTCGCATACTTCGGGAGCCCCGAAAAATCATTATTTGTTAAAAAAAAGTCGGGCCTTTTAACAAGTGGTGTAATCTCGGCGAGTCTTTCGCGTGGATTTCGTTGCGATGAATATGTATGTTTGATTCACTGATGGAATTTATATGTATATTCGTTGTATGATATAAAATTGTACTCTACAGGATTTTATATCAGATCTTCGAATTTTCCGACGGCGATAACGAGTTCACAAGATTGTAAAATTATTTATTAAAATTAAATACATAAGGCAGTTTATCTCATATGTTTATGTGATAATTAGAGCAGTAATGTTTTTATTTTTGTCGAAAGAAGACGCAACAGCAAGTTACGTTGGACTCAATTAGAACATTTCATAATCTCGTTGTCATGGATCGAATATTTTACGCAACAGAAAAATCATAGTATGTTGAAAAGGGCGGCTCTTTCAAAAGCTCATGGCAACTGTTACACACCGGAATGGGAATTTCCGATTTTGAACTGCCCCTCTTTTGAAATTCCTGGCTGTGCTCCTGATTTACCAAAACTTGGGTCGTTTGGGAACAAAAAGGATCAAGACCTGATTAAACTGTGTCTTGGTTTTTTGAACTGATTGATGATACCTCAAAATGGTTCTATCTTTGGCAATCTGTTTTAGGACTGAGGCTAAAAATTTGTTTTCCTAAAATGATTAGGTATTTCTAGCATTCGTACCTTTGAAGAAACAAGATCTTGATCCGTTGTAACTCTTATTACATTGCATGATTCACAGGTTTGAATCCTGTGGGGATATGTGCAAGAAGATTTATGAACTTCTCACTGCTGTGAGGTGGGTCACGTAACGGCTGACAAGCCAGAGCTTTCTCATTCGAGTCTATGCATCTGAAACAAATACCTGGCTAACTATGTTCCGGGTATGTACGGCAATCAGACAAGATGCTGAGCCAAGTTATCAGCTTTCCATTCTTTCTCCTGGGAAAAATTGATACCCATCTTATTATCCAAATCTTACTTTAGATATTAAATCTCTATTTTTGCATTGTCATCAATGTAATGAAGTGTATTTGCTTTTTTTGCTAAACTACTGAAATATTTATAATATTCAAAGAGCTATTAGAGCACCTTCAAAGAGACAAGATCTTGATCTGTGATTTCAATCATGTAATATTGATTGGGATGCTTGATCCATACTTTTCCTGACTTGTCCACAATTCGACCGAGGACAAATAAGTTGAATAAAAATTCTTCTATCCCCTTTTCAACCTGTAGAATAAAGATAATATATATGTATTGTTGATTTAATAATGTGTTGCAAGTCTTTTGGAAAATTCCTAATCTCTTGTTCTATGTTTCTTGTAATGCTTTGTATTTATGATACAAATTAGCAGAATATCATTCTAAATACTGTATTCTCCAGGAAAAGGGGAAATTTTCTGGACACAATTTTAGCCCAATTATGTTCCTTAAATTATGCTAATTAAAAACAACATAAAGCGCATAACAAATGTTTAGAACAGTCATTGTTGAAATTCATTCAAATAAAATTAAAGATGGCATTTCTAAAAAGATGTCTGATGATTTATTCAAACATAGCCAGTCTCAAAAATATGACTGAATTACTTTGTGTCTATATACGTCACATTCAGCAGGAATGTAGTTAATTTGTTATGCTTTTTGATTGTGAAGAAATTTATAACACAAATTTGTTCCATAAGTCCGATGTTGTTATTTGATGCAGTCAAAATTGTGAAGTTTACACAAAATTAATAAACCAAAGACGCTTGCACAAGTCAGAGACAAAAACGTCAAATTGAAGAACCTATCGTGTACTTTATTTTTTTTTATCAATATCTAGCCTATAATTACAAAATCTACCATTAATTAAATTGGTGATGATAGCACACTAAAACATACACTGTGTTATCAGACACTGTTGCTTTATTACTAAGACCTAATTTCCTGTGACTCGATTGCTACATATGCATATTGTTACATTGATATGTAGAAAAACATTAGATTGCACTTCGATTTCTTTGTTGTTCAAGTCCATGCATCTGAAACGCTGGACTGCAAAATATCTCCAAAATATTTCAGATAATGCCACTTTTTATACATCTTACACTTAACGTATCATTTTTAAACAATAATACATCACTTATATTGTCATGGTGAGCAGCTAGATATGTTTGAATGAAGAATAATATTAAAAATACTAAAGAAATAGCACCAGAGTATCTATATTAAATTGGAAGTTTCATGCTGATGTATGTTACAATTTTCAGCAGGAATAAAATTTTAAGAAAACGCCCCCATTTTCATGGAATAAAAATATAAAAATACCTAATGTACATTTCAAAAGCAATTAAAAAAATTAGGTTTTTGTTATACAGTGTTATCAACTGCCAGTGTAAGATTACAAACTATTTGCAGTCAGTGATTTTACAGGGGGCACCCCCCTAAAATCGTGCCCCCCCTCTCCCTCATTTGTCAGCTTTCAGTCCCTTAATATATCATCAACAAAATAAAAATGTGATTTATTTTGCAAATCCAAAAATTTCAGTCTGATAGCGATAGGACAATGAGGGCAGGGCGGATGTCTGTCATGGTGATACCACATAACCAATTTCATAATAAATATTGCTAAGTTTGTTATAAATAATTACAACCCAGACGCTCGAATACTAAATGCTGCGTGTAGTAAATGCCAAGTTGTACTATGGGTTCGCTAATATATATCTGAATATAGGCCCAAAATGCTACTTCAATATCAATAATATTCTTTGGGCGGTGATCCTAAAAATGCCAACCCAGATCACACTATGTTTGGCAATCTTCGTGTTTCCAAAACAGAATAATTAAGTATTTTAAGGCATGCATATATATTGTCAGACACGTCCCCATTATGACTCTGCTAGTAGATGCGACGTTTTTCTAATAATTTGAATTGGATAATTTAATAATTGTCAGAAAAGAAACTTTACCATGAATTTCAATTACTAAATTGATAAAGGTATTGTGGAATTGCGTTTTCCAGATAGGGAAAAGGTTGGGACACATTTTGTCTTTTGCATCTTTCCAGCCCGTTAACTTGCAATTTTCAATTACATTGCAGGTCTAATGCAGAGAGGGGCAAATGTAGTTTTTATTCAGTGACTAAGAAACTCCCAAGCGACACACAAATCACTGCCAAAATGCTTTGAAAAACTCCACTGGTGGGGCACATTCGGACACACCGTGGTGCACAATGGGGTGATCCAATAAATTGAACAAAATATGCCATTGAAAATCAGCATCTAAAGAAGAACTCTGGGCATCAAATTTGGATACATTGGCATTGTTCCCCATAGGCATCAAACTATTTTAGACTGCCCCATATCAAATTAGGAGAGGCTCGCCATCGATATGGGCTAAAGCAAAGAAATATGAGGATTGGTTTTTACTGTTCGAAATACTGAAGTAGAAAAAAAGGAAAGACTGAGATGACCAAATTTTACATTCAAATCCCAAAGACAATTTTATCTTTTAACTTGCGTCGCTCTGCCTCCGCTGTCCTTTTGCGGAGATGTTGCACTACAACGAAAGGCGGCGTCGAACATCGAAACACATTTATAAATACGGGTATAGTGAGAGTCTAAGAGCTGATTTTCGACTGCGCCCCACCTTCCCTTACCAGTTTTGTATTTAAAACTATCAATTAGTCAGTTTTGGGGAACATAACTTAGTAAGTGATTAATTTACTGTTGTTCATAAAATCTATTTGTCCTACTTCTACTTATTACACGGAAGAGCATGGAGTTGGTTTGGGACCCGAGAAGACAGTAACTGAGGCAATTTTTGAAATCCGTTGAAATTAATTGACTCGGATGGCACCTGAAAACTCGAGAATCATAAACTACGAAAAAATGTACGCTTCTCCAAATTTAGGCCAGTTTGATTTCAGCAATAATTCTAGCTATTGGCATTTTTTCAGTCTCCAGATTATTGTCATACTAATAATTGAAATTTGTTTTTGTTTGAATACTTTTTTCATCTTTTGAAATTAAACTAATTTTTAAAACATTCAGGATCACACTAAAAAGGTAAATATATCGAAATATTGGTTTACATTTAGCCGATACCGATACAATGCCGATACAGAAAATTAGCCAATATTGCCGATACCAATTCATTGGTACATCTCTCAAAACGTACTTAAGCGAAGTGAGCAAAACCATCCACAGAGAGAAAAAAATGGAAAAAGGTATTTACTTATGGTCACGGGAACCAACTATTGCAGCTCAACAACCAGTTGGTACATTTGGTGGTTTGCATAAAAGAATACCGATATTCAAAGTTGAATTATTGTATCATTAAAGAAAGACTAAAATACTGTTTATTAGAGTGAGCTAATATGACTCAAATCATCAGGAAATTTCTAACCTATTTTTAGATGAAAATAAATCTAGATTATTCACTCACAGCATTTGTTATATCAATATGCACGAAGATTTGATCTTTATACGACCCTCTGAATTGCTTAGGTAGAAGCTTCCTTATTGCCATATCGGGTTTCATTTCTTTTTCAAGGAATCTCAAGGTTGCTATGCGTGGATTTTCTTTAAAGTCCTTTTTTGCTTCATCTTTTTTCCTTGATATATGCAGGCTTTTCCCTATTCAAATATAAAAATTAAGAACTATTAGAGAAAAGTTTACGCTCTGGATCCAAATCTAGGAGTATGGTAAAGTAGCATTAGATTTGTATAATAAACGTATATACTTTGCTATTCTTCTGACTACACACTTGCTCAAAATAAGTAAAAAAGACAAAAGACATTTGGTACAATTATTCAATTTGGAGGAAATAAAATAGCTTTCTAAAATTATTTTGCTTTTCAGTTTGAACTATGAAAAAACTTTTTTATACATTGAATCAGCAGGGATATCAAGAGTATCTTGGTTGGTCGATCGTATATATTCTATCGCGAGGTCGTCCAACCATTGGCACGTTCCATGCGGACCGCAGAACATTTTTAGTGTATCTAAACCGCAGGCAAATATTTCTTACAGAATTTCAAGGTTGTATCTGTAAACGCCAAGATGAGGCCAATATAGGAATGGACAAATGGAATAAATTTTCTGGTCTAGACAGGAACCGACGATAAGATGAGTCGTATTTTTCATCTCAACTTCGCACCTCAAGCTTGCGTCAAGCAACTCCTCATTCTCTTATGTGTCCTAAAGTTCTAGTCGTAGTCACATTGATATTTAAATAGAAACATTTAAATAAATATCAAGAATTTAGACTACTTGCCTGCACCAACAGTACTAGACACCACAAATCTGACAGAACTTCTGAATTTATCGACTCCAGCAATACTTTTGTTGAACTTGTTACCGACAATCAAATGCTTTTGAACATAACATGATATTTCTTTAGGATCTTTGACAAAATTATCAGCAACTTGGAACTGTCAAGAAAGAATTAGTCACTAAAAGTTAAATTGTCAATCCTACAGTTGCGAGCAACCACTACACTAAAAGATATATGTGAATGTGTTGTTACCATTGTGATACCATCAGACAGTGATAGAATTGGGTACTTTTTGTATATAGTATTTTTGAAAGGATCACCGCACAAATAAAATTCTTGAAAAAACATAGAAATTTTGCATCACACCCGTAACCTTTATTTTCTCATTTAGTCGATCAAAAAACAACATTAATGAGACAAAAAGACTACCCGATGCCATCTGAAGATGATTTTCAAGAGGCAAAATAAACCCTAAATATTTACTATTAAATATTACGTAAACTATTTTTGTGAATGTATTTTCTAATGCAGTAGATAACAACACATGAATATATTTACGCAAAGCAGTAAATAAGTTATTTAGTTACCAAAAAACAAGTAACATCAAACAGTACAGAATAGGATTCTACTAAATGAACTTGTTGAAGGAGAGCTAATAATATATTTATTAATTGTATGATGTCTGAAAAAATGAAAGCTAATGAGTGAAGATAATTTATATTTGCAGTTGCATCATAAATTTGCAAGACGACTGATAATGATGGGGTACAAGGAAAATAATAGTTTGGAGTTATTTAACACTGACAAAGTAGACGTACTCAATATTGGCAAAGAAAGGTGTTTCTATTAAGACAAATTTTAGTATTCAGAAATCGATGCTTATTCTTGAACACCTAAATGATTCAGTGACTGAGTTTTGAAATAATTTTGATTTGGTTTCGACACCTGATCCGTTAATATGGTCTATAACTCAAAATAACTTACTTCTTTAAAACTATTAGCAAGGTAGTTGGTTGAATCATTGCTCAAGACAACAAGCTGATAATTTTTATAGCCAAATTTTTTTAAATCTTCATAAATATTCTCTGCAGCCTTCATTACGGAATCCGTCAGTCTATTCAGATATGCAATGCAGAACAAGGGCGAGCCTAAATATGTATTACATTATGTTAATATTAAGACTGTATATATGACACGATCTTATGAATATTTCAATTTTAAAAAAGTACCATTGTTTTCACTTTCACTCATTGCTCGGCAAAAAAAACGTTCAACATTATCTTCTGTAGTTTTTTCAGTGCAGATCAAAACTTCGGACGCTGTAGGCAAAGGCTGATCCAAATCCTCCATGTAAAGTGAAATAACTCTTAGAAGCATGTCCTGGTCCGAGCAAGTAAGCAAATTTGGCTGGCCCGGCTGCAAAGGCCAAGGAAGTATACGCTTCAATTTTTCGATTTTATTTCTATGGCTCAACTGGGTGAGAAATTCACCAAGGTGGGCCATGCTTATAAAATCTTTCCGGTCTGACACCTGCAAGACAAAAATCTGATTAAACCCATGAATAGGAAATCAAAAAAGTATGTAACATATTAAGTTAGGTAAATAGAAGGCATGCGTAAGGTGTGTTGTATATTTGATATTCAGCCTTTTCACAATGATGAGGTTTTATTTTTATCAAGATGGTCTTGCATCTAATTGAAATATTTCGTGTTTATATCTGAGTTCAATAGTGGATAGTTGAAAAATAAAAGAATGAAAAGTGAAAATTCATTGTCTTTTTTCATTATGGGAATTTCTGGAAATATGGATCGCGGTTGACCATTTTTGATTTCTGATTATAAAAATAATTTCTATATAATGATTCTGAACACTCATAGATTCAGGCTTAAATAAAAATCAATTTGGCTTTGCGTCAATGATTCTGTGTAATAGAAATATAGATGGTATGAATATCTAATTGTTCATAATGAATAGCATTTACTATTTATATTAAAGTTGAAATTCTCAACATCCCAGCATATTTCTACTTACGGATTTATACATTGGAGCGAATGATGACACTAATTTTAGATAGAAGAGGCAAATATATTCCAACAAAACCTCAACCATAATATATTATTAGAGTTCAAGCAAATCTAATCAATCTTTCTTTATTCTCTATTTCACCTCCAGGCAAATATAAAGTGTAAATGTACCTTGTACGAACGAAAGCCCCCCTCAAAACTCTGTAACCTATCTATTTCATATGTACTGCAAGCCAATGCAAATGGCACATATTGCGCAACAGAGAATATTGCAATCTGCTATGCGAAGGTAATGTACCTTCTTGCTTGCAGAATTTTTCCCAAAATTAGGTCAAAACCTTCACATATTAAATTAATCCCTATTGAAAGCCCTTTCATTGCAGAATAAAATTAAGATAACAGTGTAAGATCATAAGTCCCCATTTATCAAAAGAAGCAAGCATACAATATCATCTAGGAATGATTGTCAAGGTTTAATAAATAAATTGGAAAGCATATGCTGTGATGGTTACCTTTGAATACCCTAACTAAGAATGGGAAAAGGTATAAATATCAAACAAATTTGATACATACTGCGAAGTCGGCAGTAAAAAACATGCATTTCTCATTCAGGTATTTCAAAATAGTCTCCTGTGTGCTTGGAATTCCTGAATTTACTGATGCTTCCGTTGTTGCACTCATTTTAGAATTTTTCAAATCAACTGAAAAAGGTGTCGGCAGAGAATTAACACAGCATAAGCAGGTACAATTTTAACAGTTGTAGCATTGAATATTACTCACTGGTTCATGAGAAACAGGTTGTAAAATGTTTGAATATAATTATGCTGGGGATGGAAGTAAAAGTTTTTTATATTCGTTTCATTCCTATTGTTATAATAGTCATTAAATGATCAGTAAATGGGAAATTATGGCAGCAATAGAAACATGCTCACTAGAGCAGCACTGACTGCATTGAGTTCAACTATTTGATCGTGTACAAATGTACAACATAGGCAATGAAAGGTAATTCATATTCTGCATTTTTACGTATCTATATACCAGCATCTGAAATGGCTAGTAAGTAAATATTATAATATGGTTTTGTCATTTTAGTAATCCTTTGAGCATATCTCACCTATCTTTCTGTCAAACTGTGTGGACAATTCTTTAATTATGGTTTGGTTTGATTCATTCATCATTATCCAGGTCTTGCATTGTTTTATATCTGACCACCCCTTTTCCATTACAGCAGCTTTGGCTAGTCTTTCGGTTTGTCTACGTTTTCTTTTCATTGCTCCTATCACTTTCTCTACACCATCTTTCATTTTTTGCATTTCATCATCGTTTGCATCATCACATTCTATAGCATAAAATATTTTCAAGATAATTGAGAATAGTGAAATGTTCACAAAGAATCAAGAAAAAATTATTTTTATTCACATCTCATAAGTGTAATGTAATAAGGGAAATCTAACACAAGATTTGAATAAAAATATAACATCTATATATATATACAGAAAATCAGGCCAGTCACTAATTGCATGCTCAGAAAATATTTCTATGCTAGAACAAACCTTCTGGCTCTTTCTGGTCAATTTTTTGTTTTGTTTCCAGCAGATGTTCTTTTGTCGTTTCCAATAGTTTTCGAATATCATTGAATGTTATTTCCGGACAGATAATTGAAAGCAAAGCATTTACCTGTGATAAATATCTCGATTTTCAATGTTGTTTAAAAGATATTTTTTATGAAATCTAATAAATTAAAATCATTCTATACTAATTGAAAACATAACATAAAAATGGTACTATGAATTTACATATATATTTCACAATATATGTATCACCATGTTAATACATATGTTCAGTGATATATATGCAACACATGCATTTCTGAAAATTATTAAGACTTCGCACTGGAGAGCTTAGCGCATATCAAACTATCAAAATGAACACACCTGATCTTGATGAGTTTCTGCAGTGAGACTCTCATCAGATAACTGATTGCAGAGATAAACTATTTGGTTGATTGAGTACTCATTCAGGTAATAATATTTCATTCGCAGGTCTTTAACATGCTGTTTCCACCTGAAAAATACAAAATGATAGTATTCTAGCCCAGTGGTTCTCAAACTTTCATAATCATTTCCCCTTAACAGCATTCTATACATCAACGATCATACAATTTTTTGGTCCCATTTCTCATTCATCCCCCAAAGGGCGATATTTCCAATTCCAATCTTAAATAATTGCTGTTCTAGCCCACGAAACCTGCACTGTATTTCAGTGTTTACTTTATTCAGACAGACACATAATGACCAACTGTTTATATTTATGTTCATTTGTTTATGTTTGATATCATTTTTTTTTTCTTCTTTTTTTTCGGGAAGTGAATGCGTTTAATACGTTATAAACTTATTTTTAGGTTTTCATCACTTTCCAGATTTTTCACCTTTCTCTTTTCTGTGTATTGTTTTATTTTTTGCGAATGAATCAAATAAAGTCTATCTATCTATACTAAGACCCAGCAAAACTGCTGATCAGTGATAGCCCTTTTTTAAAGTACATTTAGTAACCTTAACACAAATTCTCTAGAAAAACTCAAAACTAGCTGTAAATTTGCAAAGTAACAGAGTAAAATTTACTTCATGTGAGTTTTATCGAGCTCTCTTTCAACAACTTCTGCATCAGTTAACGAAAATCGCTGTTGCACTGATTCTCCTTCTTCCCCTTTGAAAAATATTTTCATCCTTATATGTTCTCCCTCACCAGGTCTGGATAAAATTTAAATCAAACTTTATCCACTTATAATTTCATCTGAAATTTGACCATCACCATTTTAAAAATCAAATTGGAGTTTTTCATCAACTCAGCCATATTACATTCTAATCGAATTATTGACTGACAAAAATTATTGATGTAACGAGATAGTGAATTTCAGATTTTTTTTTAAAATTTATTTGGTTCAGCAGTGTTTTACAGAAATGATAAGCAATTCCGAAGACTTGTTTAATATTGATTGTTAGTCTAAGAATAGGGGTTTATGGCAATTAGTCGAACAGCAATTTGAATGAAATGATTAGGAGGGGGAAATGATCGGGAGGTGCTTGCTGATTGTGGGTGGAGTATTGTAACTGTCTTTTTTTCAGTCTTTAAGAAAAGAAAAAAAGTGTAAAATAAGACAAATAATAAGTGAGTTCCTAATATTATTTTCTGCAGAATTTATGATGATAACATGATACCAGATGATTCTCGGGAAGTATGAAAAGATCTAAAAAGAGTCTTACTAAAAGTCTATAATACTATGTCATTAAATATTTACAAGATTCTTATGCAGCAGCCGTTGAATAGTGTGAAACCATCTTCCACTAGACGTATCAAGGCATTTGCCAGCTTCTCCACAATCCCAAATATATGACTATAACGAGCAGGCATTCGAGTATCAACTAATTCTCCCATTAAAGTCAATGTAGATTGTAAGTTTCGTAAGTAGATGAAATCCAACGCATCTCTTCTTCCTGGAAATGTAACCGTAAAACTGTTACAATGAATGAACACGGAATTTATACAGGCATGGGATATACCATATTTGGAGATCTTTTGTAAGATATTTTGGACGAATTCACAAGACACAAAAAAATAGTTGAATGTACAAACGAGAATATCGGTCGGAGACCGAAGACTTATCGATCGAAACTGCGGTTTCGATTCATGACTCTATAATGACACCGCGTGTCCCATAACTAATTAATTATTAACTCGCTAATTATACGACATAATTCATCCAAAATCAATAGGCTTCTGCTCCGAGATATGATAAATGCACATGCAAAATTTGGAGCAGATTCAACCACGCCTTCGTGAGATATCGCGTGCATCTAACGGACAAACAGACAGACAAACAGACAAATACCTATCAACATACTTACCGATCAAAAGATCGATAAGTAATGATCAATTAGACTAGAACATTTTTCAAAATATTAACAAATCATCGATTTCTTCGGCACAACATGGACAGACTTAATGTTTGTGATGAAGCGTAGGATAATTTAGGGAAAAAAAAACGCTAATATGGATTGTTTTAAATAATTCTGTATATTTAAACGGCATGTTTTTCAAATTTTAGTACAATTGGAAAAAAATATTAAGATTTTTCCATTAATAATATAAAGGTATAAAACTGAGCAAGAAATCAAAAAAGTGACCAATCCATTTTTTAGACTTTGTGGCTCTCTTTGTTCTTTTTAATGTGACAATTTACATTTTATTTTCCACAAATCTTGTTTGGACATTTCAAGTCAAATAAATGGTTGTGAAAATTGGAACAAGTCTATTTTGTTTATTGTCTGTAGCAGTGATTCCCAAAGTGGGCGATATCGCCCCCGGGTGGGAGAAAACGATACAGAAGGGGACGAAAAGGCCGAAGGGGGGATTTCGCGAAAACTGTACTTGTTTGGCGGCTGGCGCATCTTGCACGTGATTTCTGTACTCTGCATGCGTTCTCAGGTTTGAATCCCATGGGCGATAATCACACGCGTGAGGATTGCTGGATTCTCCTCGCCGTAAGGTAGTTCGCGTAGCTCAGGGTTCGGCAACCTAGGCCCGCGTGCCAGATCCGGCTCGCGAAGTAAACATTGCACTGAGACAATACGGCGGTTTTGACGATGGAATAATTTTATAATCTACGCTCAAGGAGTAGATTTTTGACGTTACAGAATTTATCGTGAGACACGTTTAGACTAAATTACATTGTAACTTAACAATTTAGTGAACAGCTACTTGTTCCTACAATTTAATTGCAATTAGACAAATAGCAACACGCAGAAAAGTTGATGCTGAGTGCAGGGGCTCAATAGCGCAGATAATATTCAAATGGAGCTCCTTGAGATGCAAAGCAGTGTGGAAATGGAATTCATATTCTATTCAAGAGATGCATCACTGCTTTATTTTTAAAATAATGTATCTTCTTAAAGAAAATATCTATCAAAATTTGACCAATCATGCGAAAAGGACATATGTGTGCGAATGATTATTTCCAAAATCGACATTACAAAGAACAAGCGGAAAACTAGGATAATTGATGCCCATTTGGAAAATGTTCCAATCTTGGTGTCAGTCAGTGTGCCGCCGATGTCGAAAGCTATCAAACTTAACGCAGAAACATAAGAGTGTCAAATTGACTGTCATTTGTAATTTTTTTCTTTTAATAAGACGACTGAGTTGAGTTCACGAATTGTCACAGTTTATGCGCGCTGTTCCATTTTCATTTTTAATTTTCAAAAATGTGTTCAGCCGCCAAGACTTGAAACCCTTAATTCTGGCCCGCGACCCCTGGCGTAGCCGATGGTCGGTTACGGCTTCTCCAACTATCAAGTCCATGAATCTGAAATGAAATTGTATAAATTACTGTAGGGGGGCGATAGTACAAAAAAGTTTGGGAACCACTGGTCTATACGACAATGCTCACGTAATATTGTTCATGCCTTCCAATTTGCAATCTAAACTGCAAAAATAAATAAAAATGGATTCAGTTGCATTTTAACTTAAATACATACAGTCATACACATCACAAAATAATTCAAATGATTGAACATTCACCAGAAGGCTGATCAGTTGATGTCCCATTTGACGGAATGTACACCTGTACAACATTTTCTAAAGTTGCAGGTTGGCCTGGTTTAAGCCGAATATTGAAAATTCCTTTTTCATTTATACTTCGAACAGCTTGTAGTGAACTTTTTTCAATAGATCCATGACTGAACTCGATTTCTTGAAAAAACTCCAAATTGACAGCAGAAATATGCTGAAATTATATATATACCGGGTAAGCAGAACAATAACACTTCTTTGTAGGGGTGGGACGAGTCCGGCATTACAGAGATTCGACGCATCCGAGTAATAGGACATGGACTCGGATCGAATCTTCTGAGTCCGTGACGTCACAATGAAAAAGCTGAAAAACACGTTTTTGACCATGCTACGGCAACGTGCGCTCACAAGCATACGCCATATATAATATTTTTTGCCTAATGGTTCCACAGGTAGCTGTTGAATCATTTCAGAAATATATTTCTCCTCTTTTTTGGCGGCCATAATACAAACGTAAACGTGGGTCAATTTGCGCCATGGTTGTGCATTTCCATCCCACCACCTACCGTTAATTTTAGGCGGCTATTTCGAAATTCTTACATGTCAATATTATAATAAAAAGCTACATAATTCCATATACTTTTAGCCGTAAACCTACTATGTCGCGTGCGCAAATGGTAGATGCCACTCGTCAATACAATGTGGTACATCTGCTTGCAATTTATTAGAGCATGTAAAAATTCTGAAATTCTCCATGTCTTCCATTGCTCCCATTTTAGGGATAAGATTGCACGTAATAAACTAGATTTAAAATAGGTATTAATAAATTCCCCCTTGGGTTGATCCAAAGCATGTTTCATTTTTACGCGAATCGAAGACTTGAAAATATTGCGCTAACGCATATTTTTTTGTTCACGTGTGTACCAAAAAGAATAGATATTTCGAAGGCGACATCATTGTTATAAGCGATCAATAGTTTTCAACATGCGTTATATTATCTGGATATCTGTCGTTTTCATTAAGAGTGTTTGTAATACATACGAGGAATATTGTTACAGCTCTAATAACGAATTTTAATCAATATGAACTGAGATTTATAGAGGTAAAAGTACAAACATAGGCGCAAATTGGTAAAAACAGAATTGATTATAACTCGGTAAAAATGACGCGGATTCGAAATCGAATCCGAGTCCAAAAAATGCGCGGATTCGACTCGACTCCGGATCCGAATCTCAGCCCATCCCTACTTCTTTGACATGAATTTTTTTCTAAAATAGATTTCCTGCAGCAGTGGTTCCCTAATCTTTTATGGCTCATGGCCTTCTGGGGGCTTTTAGCACTCATGTCCCCCGTATGTTATTCCAGTGCTATTTTGATTGGTAAATTCCAAATCCCAATATGTTTAATGTACAATCAATTCAGGCTCAACAAAGTTGAAACAGTCAAATAACCATATCAATAAATGGGCAACAATGGTTGTCAAGCAATGTACATACCCAATTTTCCACAAGGTCTTCATCTGCAGTTGCATTCTCCATTAATCTCTCACATTTTCGTAGCAATTGTTCAAATGTTAATTCATGCATGTTGAATAGAAGAGGCTCAAACCCATTTACAGCACTGACAAAACTTGAAACAGTTTTTACTCCGCCATCAATACCAAATGTCAAAGCTAATTCAGCCAAAACTCCAAGTTCTGCAATGTCTGAAGAAAAGTTTCAATAATAAGAAAACTTGAAAACTAATTTTTGGTTTAATTATGATGCATATTGTCACTGACTATTTTAATCACTGATTTTCAAATCGTGGATCCTTCAAGGTGAAGTATGCTTATTTTGTATTCTTCAATTGTTTTTTTACTGTATACTAATCGAAATGCAATTTTTAATGCAAAATTTAAACATAACTTTGTCAAAAAAACATTTGTTTCCTTAATAATGTTATGAAGCCTTGTGATTGATATTTGGATGAGTTTTTTTATTCTTCTGGACAGATAAACAATTTTTTTATATTTTCAATTTTTTTGTATGGTGCTTTTTAACTTGGATAAAATCTTTGAGTACTGTTATACATTAAATGGTTGAAGAAAAAGTATTTGAATCAGAAAACACTACGTTTCCACAAAAAATACTGTAAGTACCGTATTTCCTGGCTAATAAGTCCACCTTGCAAATAAGACGCTGTCTATTTTTAGCACTCAATAAAGGGGTTTTTCTATATAGGCCTCTAATAAGATGGGTAGAAAAATTGCTTCACTGTTGTTCAGTTATGCGCTTATATGCACTAATAATTTTATATGGTTAGAACCAGATCAGGTTTGTATGGTAGAATTTTACTCGCAGGAATCAACTATTCTTACCAATAAAGTGGTAAATTTAAGTTATATAGGGCCATCATTTGGAAAACCTATTAACCTAAATGGTAAAATATCTTTGGAATACGATGTGATAAGTACTACACTGTACGTCCATAGGGTATTTCACAGCTGTATAAATCACTTTATCTCGGTGGCCATGTTTTCTCTTCGAAGTGCCAATAATCGGCCTACAAGGGGAGTGCTCCATGACACCAGCCAGCTATGATTACGAGGGAGTTTTTAAAAAGATTATGACAAATAACAATTAAATATCATGATTGGCAGACTCTTAGACCAAAATATAAGGTTAACACAAATCATGCTTGAGAAGACTCCTGCAAAAAATAAGTAGGTCACATATAAACATACTTGCTCAATAAGACGTCCCCCCTCCCCCCCGAAAAAAAAATCAGGCCAGAAAACTTGGGTTTAGGAAATCGACTTATTAGCCGGGACATCCGGTATATAGGTTCTAAGTTTAGTATCTTAAACTTTCTACAAAGAGGAAAAAGCGTGTCTTCATAACAATCGCAATTTTAATTGACTTGTATATACCATACCAATTAATTTATTTTGCAGCCACTCAAAGAATTCGTTTTCTTTCAAAAATGATGCCGCTATTTTTGGCATGTCAACACTACTACTTTTAAATTTATTCAGAAGATTATCCAGTGTTGGAATGAAGCTGCTAATAGTAATCAAGAATTTCAACTGCGACATTTCGTCTTTTAAAAACTCCTGCAAAAAATAAAACTGTGAGTCAAAGGTAACCTAGGCAATACTGAACGAAAGTTCAAGTTATCATAGGAAAAATAAATTTTAAAATATTTATCAAAACAAAATGTATTGATGCAGAAATGAGTCATGCAGAAGTGGTGCCTAGTCAAATATTGGTAAAAAATTATTATACATGACCTTTCGTCAAAATTGAGCCTTGGGCCACATGGTCATGAGATATGAGGCGCAGATAATGACTCAGAATTTAATTTTCATTTCGTATTTTATATGTTTATATTATGTATATATGAAATTTATATTACATACCGAATAAGATAAAACCAATATTATGCAAATATACAAAATCTACCTTTATTTTCAGACAGGTGTCAAATTCATTTCCCTTTAAATCAAACTTATCCTTTAGCGAAATCAGCATATCAATGAAGGGCTTGCAGTCCATCACCTTTACATACCATTGTATTTTTTTTCTAATATCTTGAAGAGAAAAATATTTGTTATCAACCTAAGTGTCAAGTAATATTACTTTCTGATAGTAAGAGACGGTATTTATTTTATACCTCCATTTGGTCATTGAATTATTCAGGAATTCCCTTTTTATTTGATTACAATTAAAATTCTAAATATCACATTTTCAGTGTATTTATTATACAACCTAATTTACTACATTAACAAAATCCAAATAGCTAATTTAACCAGAAAATGATCTAGTATACGTTTTTACGTATTACAATTTATTTAAAGTGTTTTCAAAATTTGTTTCAATATTAATATGTTAAGGCTTTTGAGTATAATTGTTCTAAATATTATTAAAGATTTGATTTAAAAGAAATTAATTTATTAATATTCTCAGTTATCAGATCTCTTAGCGAATGATATATGAAAGTTTCAGAATTTCAGCAGACTAGAATTGGGTCTTGAAATATAAAGTTTATAAACCAATCAATCATTTCACTCATGAATTTAAAATTGTGGAAAAAATTATAATAAATCAGTGGATTGGAATATGTGAATCACTAAATGGCAGCGAGTCTAGCAATCCTCTCAAACAATGTATTGGCAAGTCACAAAATAGAATTGTAAAAGGTGTATTCACAATGTTTAACATGATGTCGTGGTCATCCTCTCAACCAGTTCATGCCAGGCATGAGAATAGATAACCAGATACTCATTTCAGATGAATGGATTAAAGAATATAAATTGAATATATAGCATTTAAATTCACGCAAAAAATGAACGAAACATTCATAAATAAAAGTTATGACATTTTGTAGATCAATTCAATCTTTTAGCTGCTGGCTAAACGATGTCAAACCAGAAGAATTCAAATTTTTTCCTATTAGTAGCTTCTCTAGTATTAGTGTATATTCTACTAGAGCAGGACAATTCATTGCTAGCCGTATGTGGCTCCTACACCAGTTTTATGTGTCCCTATTCGGCTTAGTTATTCTAGGGAAAAAATAATCCGCGGACTACAATTCCCCACTTTTAAATTAAACGTGTTATAATTCATCGTGAAATCTTTTTTTATGTCGAACAGACTCGCTTTTCCATCGTTTGAGAACCACTAGTCTGGAATAAATGATGAATAAAATTGCATTCAGTTACAGTAATTAAACTAGTTGAGAGTACCTTTGATAATTTCTTCTTGTGCATTGCTATCTTGCCCTGCTTTGTTGTACATTGTATCTAAATTTTTCAAAATTATTTTGTAATTACATTATTAGATACATTAGTTGACATATTCGTAGTTTATTTATTTATTTTTTGAAATATCAGAACTTTACATAATACTAACTAAAGAATCAATATTTTAGAGTTTAAAGTAATATTATATTCGCTGACCTTTGTAGAAATTTGCAACCTCGTTTTCCAGTGTTTTTCCAGGCTCCCTTAATGACTCTGCCCATGTTTGGAGAATTTTAATGGAAATGTCACCTGAGGAAAAACAGAATTTTAATATTGAACAGTCAATTACTGTCAATGATTTAACAGTTACAGAAGATATTATGATTTGTTTTCATTCTAAATTAGTGTGTAATAGACATATGGAAAATGTAACTAACCCTCAACTCTACCCTTTTCGTTTTTTTGAGCATCGAATTGATATATATACAAAATATTGGCAATTTTATGATAACAACAGATTTATGAGTGTACGGCTTTTACCGGTATTCCGCATTAATAATACACAAATTAATACTTTTTTGGCTGCTACTATTATCTGCAAGTGTAAACAATATATTATCATTCATACTCAACGCAATGGGTATAAAATAATTACTTTTCAGAAGCTTGATTATTATTTTAGAACCTTCACAGTTATCAAATAAATTGTAATCTAAAAATCTTTTTCATTCTTGTGGCCGGTATATTAAGTTAGACGCCTGAAGAATGACCAATCGTTTATATGCATGTTTATTTGTTTATGTTTGCTCTAACTTGTTTTCTTATTCAATCGGTGGGTGAATGAATTTAATGCGGTATAAACTCATTTTTAGGTTTCCATCACTTTCTAGATTATTCGCCTTTCTCTTTTCTGTATATTGTTCTATGTTTTGCTAATAAATCAAAATAAAATCCATCTATCTATATGTACGCAATATATACCTTGAGCAATTTGTTCAGCATATTCGTGAAGTGTGCCAATAAACCGTGACAGCAGACTTAATGTTTCTTTTGTGCTCAGATTTGTTAGCTTGCCACGGAAGATTTGTGGAATTTCAGTTGATCGATGAAAAAACACGACATTTTCCTGGTAAGCAAATAACAACCATGATAACTAATTTAAAATTGTAATATGTTTTCCCTTCTATGAAGGATAATATCAATAAAATAACACTTCAAATCAATTCTAACTAATTCACCGTGTAACACATATTTAGTCCTGGCTTTTAAGTATTATTTTCTGATTGGACCTCAAAACTGAAGGAAAATGACTTTACTATTTTCAATTTTTTTGTGTTTCTCATATTCCAGAGATGTGTACCATGTATTCTATAAAAACAAGTTTGGGGGAATTAATACAAACTCATTTTAAATAAATTTCAGCGACTAAAGAGACTCAAAATTAAACAAAAAAATGATGTTTATTTTAAATTTTGATCTATTGTTGAAGTCTATTTCACGAATAAGCCACCCTATGTAGTCACCATCGTTGCACTACCTGATAGGGTTACAATATCTGAAAAGAAAAATCCCTGACAAAATTTTAATGAGTCACGTTGACAAATTTTGCAATTCAATACCATTTTCTTCAAAACTTTTTATGGCATCGATCAAATACGGAGCAAGTACAGATGTAATGAACGCTTCCCTCCTTGTTTGAGAACAGAAAACTTTTTTTCTAATTAGAATCATAAAACGTTTTTTAGTGGGGACAACGTATAATCCGTAGATAAAAAGCTATTATGATGCTTAATTAACAGTCTGATACGCATAAGCGCTCTGAGCAGCAGTAACTTCATTTTACATCCTGTTGGGTATGATTTATATATTCATCTCAGGGGAAAGGAAAACTATTAAGACACCTTAATCATGGGGGAAACCACAGATTCTGTCTAGTTACTAGTCCATGGTGGGTATAGATAGTGGAATAAGCCGTAATCGAGCAACGGATACATGAACCTCCTTATACGGCGGTGAGGAGTCCAGCAATCCTCTCGTGTTTTTGCAAAAGGTCCACGGCTGCCAAGGGAATCGAGATCTTTTATGAGTTATATTTATTAATTAATTTGTTTATATTTAATTATTAATTTGGTTTGTTATGTTTGTTATGTTATTGACTTGCGTCTGAAATGTTCATGAAATGGTAAAATTTAAACAAATCTAAGAAATAACATTTTTTAGTGGTTAGTATTTTTATAGAATCGAAAAAGAGCCCTGAGGGTCAGCACTTACCTCCATTGGAAATTACTTGAGGTCGAAGTGGTCTTTGACAGCGCAACAAATTTTGGCGCTCCGGAGTTATGTGCACCAAGATATCGCACAACCTGAACCCAACCCGGTACACAGATACTATGTTCAGGTTGTGCACCATCTTGGTGCACATGCTTCTGAAGCTCCCAGATTTTTACTTTTCTCATTACGTTATGTCTGGTATTTTTTGTCAGCGTTTATTATTTTGCGGGCATTGGATTAATATCTTCTCGCAGATCTCACTAGTATTACTAATTCTTTCGCCGCAACACCAGAATTGAATTATTTATTTCTTGCAAAACTGTGCGTTATACGCAAAACTTTAAATATCATGAATTGCCAAAAGTTATTAAATTAATCGCTGTACTGAAAGCTATATCACAATTAGCGAAGTTGCAAAATAATTATTTACGCCCATGTTGTACCTTCTTACAAATTCTTGAATCACCGCTTTTGATCGGACTCTGATGATCAAACAGGTTTACCACATAAATTAATGTTCGCAAATGTTTTACAGTAGAAACCTGACGTATGGAAACCCCACACTACCACATGTACGGACGTTTACATTTCAATTATGCAACGATAGTATCTAAAAAAGGGCAAATTTCAAATGTAACTTTGACATCAAATTTTAGCTTGGACAGTTGTAGGTTCCCATTCGATGTCGCCTTCACAGCTGAAACATTCAATCCTTTTTAGAAAGTAGGGCCTGTTGTAGTGTGATGCCGTGTGGCTTTCAACATGAAGGTATTGCAAACTCACTCTGTAGGCTCATCAGAAAATCACCAAAATAGCATTCAAACTAGGATATTTAGAATTCGAAAGAAGCAACATTTATTTATTTTTTTTTGGAAAAAGAAAGCCTTTTTGATGATGTTTTTGTTGCTTGGTGATTCTTACAAATCTGGCAAATTAAACGGTTTCCTAGCATAAAGTACTGAATTTTTTAATTGTTCAAGTGTCATTAAATAGGACTTACAACTTGTCTCAGCCAAATATTAAAGTCAAAGCTGCATTTAAAATTTGACTTTTTTGACACACTATCGCGACTAAATCAGATCTTAAACGTCATTACTATTTGATGAATGAACAATGGGTGACTACATTTGAACGCTTATTCATGAAATCGATTCCGCCTGTGGTTGAAAATTTTGAAGAAAAATCGCTTTTTTGCTTGATTTTAAGTCATTTCAGTTGCGAAAAAGTTATATAAAAATGCTTCGTTTTAATTTCCTTGAGAATTTTTATCATAGAAAGTGAGGAACGCATCTCTAAAATATCAAGAATACCAAAAGCATAGCATCAGATTATGTCATACTAAAAGTTTTAGACTGTCTTAAATCTCGAAACCTCAATTTTAGAAAAATTCCCCCTCCCCAATTAAAAATTTTTTTTTAAAAAAAAATGAAGGTGGTTTTCTCTATTTACATACAAGTCAAGGGCTTACAGGAAATCCATAAAAAAATGATAAAAATAAAAAAAAAATAACTATAAATAATAAACAAAATAAAATGCTTGGATTGGATTTGTATTTTTACATAAGGTACAATCAGTACTGGTACTGGTTTTGACTGTAGGCAATAAAGGATAAAGCATTATCTGATTCATACATTAGGCTTATAAGGTACAGTAGAATATGTTCATTTTTATCAATATAGTACATTATTGCATTTATTTTTCTTCCTAAGAATGGGACGCTATTGAACGTTCACATAGGTAAATACAATGAAATACCTCACTCTTAATAAAAAAGCATGCCAATCTTCCTCCAAAATTGTATATTACAACTAATACAGGTAAACTGTGCTTTGCATCATTTGTAAAACATGGACTGATTTGGAAAGAATGAATGTTTAAAACAGGGGAGACGAACCCATTTGCTATTGCGGGTCATTTTGTCAGTCACCGCTAAGTTAGCGGTTACAACTCTTCAGTTATATTATGATACTTATTAATTTTCATCAACAAAAACGAACAATTACATCTGTACAGTTGGAGTTATTTGATTATAAAATGAATAAGAAAATAAAAATAGAACATTCAATGCATGTTTTACTGAGTGATATTTTTTTAGACTTTACTAAACGCTTTATATTAATACGAATTGACGTCTAGGAAACTCTCATCTGCATGCCAAGATTTTTGGCTGTCAGTTTTGACCTGGATGATCGATCGGGTTCGGTTTCGGGTGGCGTAATCTCACTCGGCCGCGAGCTTAGCTCGGTTCAGGTGTTTGAAATTCCAAATTTCCGTTCGAATACGCTGCTTTTTTGTCTCCAATGCTTTAGTCGAATATAGAGATATCACTTCAAAAGCAATTTTTGTTGTACCAAAACAAATTGTAGTCATTGATATTTTATCGTAGATCTAGGGATTTCTCTAACGATGATATCTTGAAAATTATTTTGAGTGGTTGCATTGAGATAAAGCAAAGTCAGTTTTGCAAAAACATATCAAATTTGTGTAATTATTAACATCGTAAAAATACGAATCAAAACAAGATATACGACAGTTTGAAACACTCATTATGATCGTAAATCGTGATATTTCATAATAATGTTCTTCGGACGGCGCACAATTAAATTGAGCACAACACAATTAAATTAATAAAGCAACCCATCATAAATAGACTCGGAATAATCGATAATTAAATACTTTGTGCACAGCTGCAAAATCAATACCCGACAAACTAATAGAACAATACAACATTATCTGTCGAAAAAGTGGGCATTTTTCACAAGTGGGCGGCCTAATTGCGTCGATCATTTCATGGACATTTCCAAATTTCTTACGATTTATACCCTTATTGTAAGTCTGACAGCGCCCTTGACCTATTTCAAGTCTTATCGAACCTTGCTTTATGACATTTTGTGTCGGGTTAATATGCAAAATTCCGGGTAATAATGCTTCAGATAAGTATTTTGGAATCTTTTGCACAAAGCTGCCACCATAAACAAAATACCACCGCCTCCGCTTAATTAAAAAAAATATTCTTGTTACAGTTTTAGGGCAAAAAATGCAGATTGAGCCAAAAATTTAAATTCTCAAATCATTTCTAATTCCAACCGCAACTGTATAATTACTGATTTGTTATTTCAGAATGTGGTATTTTTTTTCAAATTTTTCACTAGCGACGTGGGCTTTGCGCAAAAGATCCATATTTTGCAAGCAGGCGCGCAGCCAGCATTTCCAAAAGGGGTTTCAAAATCGAAAATTCCCGTTTTCCTCAGTCGCCGGGATTAGGCGCTCCTTACAAGAGCCTTCTTTTCAGCGTATACCGCGCGTAACATATTCATTCCATGGGAATATTTAAAATGTCTAGATTTATTTATTTAATTGTCTTCTAGTTAACTCTTGCTTGCGTCTACAAAATAAAAGCAATATTGATCTAAAATACTACGGCAATCTGCAGACATAAAAAAATTTGCGTCGACGATTCTCATTATTTTTATGCTGCTGCTTTTCAATCAAAACATCTCAAATTCACTCCTATTTTGTTTTTATCATCTCGCCGCCGATGAATGTATAACAACTCTAACTAGATTCACAATTTTGTGCGAGTACAAAAATAAGGTAATTATCATCGTTATCGTGACACAAATTTGTGATTTATGGAGAATAAACACCAACGTAAAGGCATTTACAGCCTAAATAACACACCAGGCTGACACAAACTATTGGCGATTTTAGCAAAATGCAATCGCACGAGTTATTAGTGACTTTTCAGTTATCCAAAAATTTCAAAAGAGGGGTTCCGACCCCGAAAACCAGTCCCTGACGATTTATGACTTCAAGTCAAACATGCACTGAATCGCCTGAATGCTTCGCGGGCCGCATGAAATTCCTTAGCGAACCGCAGGTTCATCACTTCTGGTTTCATTTTAAAGCCATGGTTTGATGACTAAAATTTACCATTCTAGGTTTTATGTAGGATATTAAAAACCATTTGGTGTCTTCCCAGTCAACATCATCAGACAGATGAATAAATTTCTCCATTTCTCTCAAAGTAACCGTTTGATACGAATCTGGTATAGCTGTCATCGTTTCATGGTTTTGTAGTTCAATACCCACTGAAAAAATATGGATATATATAAGTAAATTCCTTTTCTGTAAATTTATTGCCGTATTGATGTTTAGATACTTAGAATCATTGTATAGTGCTATATCAAGAAATCAAGAAATAACAACATAAAACGGAAATCTATGTAACATCAAAGCACATCCCTGAGAAGTTCCAAACAATAAATGAATCAGAAAAAAGTTTAAAAAAAGAAATTTTGATATATTATATGATGATTTATTACAGAATGGATAGTTCTAAAGGTATTCATTGAGTATTACTAATATCACCATATTTTTTTGCTACATATATTAAAAAGCAATTTCACAGCTTGATTTAATTCCCAAAGTTAAATATATTGAATACAGTATATAGTGTATAAGCCAGGGTACTCCGGAAGTATGTGAACCAAGATGGCGAACACCGGAATGTAGTTACAAATTATGGCCTAACCCTAACCGGGTACACATACTACGTTTTGGTGTCCACCATCTGGGTTCACATACTTCGGGAGTACCCAAGCTAGTTGTAAATTTAAAAAGGCACCTTGTTTGCAAATTATACACAAAGTCTTCAGTTCTTGAGCTCGATTCACCATATTTCTAAAATTTATTACATCTTTTCTGAGTCTCTCTAAATTTCCCAATGCTTGTTCGTTTAATTCTTGTGACTAAAAAAAATCCATACGTGAGTAAAATTTTTAATGGTTATTCAAACGAAAGTACCGTAGATAAGATGGCATGGAAAACCCCATTCTTGAGTTCATGCCAGGTCTGATATATACATATATGTAACCAGTTGATCAATTTATTCACTTGGATGGTAACAGAAAGCATAATTCATTATCAGTTACATGAACCACACTATGCAGGCAATTCTCTTGTGCATAAATATTTACACTGTGTTTGAACCTGTGAACCCACAGTTATTATCAGTAATGACATAAAGACAAAGCGTCCCCGAGACTTTGTCCAGGCAGCTTTTTCTTATGAGAAAGACAAAATCTATTACATGAAATAAACTCCGTAACTCTGTTCCTTAAGATTAATTACTAGAAACATATCACCGTAAAAAATATAAGATATAAATCTCCAATCGAACTTACATCGCTTTTTAATTCTAAAACAAGTTTCTTAACCACATCCGGCTTTGATGAAAGAATAATCAACATTCCCAACGGAATTTGTTTGGTTTGCAAATCTTCCAATACACTTTTTTTTAATACGTTTGTGAATTTTTTGATATGACTATCTTCCTGCAGTTCAAGCTTGCCATCTGATATAGAATACAAAAGGTTACTCAGAAGCAATAATATATTTTCAGAGAGTATTGTCAAATTAAAGAAATCGCATCATTCATTTCTGGTTCATTTTCAGAAAAAAATATGAAATTGAGAGCTATCTAAATCATCCCACTGAAAAAAATATATTAATTATGAATCTTCACACACAAGCTAAATACACCATGTACTGAGCACCAGTGAATGTAATAATAAATTCAGAATAAATATAAATAAATTAATAAAAAAGGGGATATCTCGATAGCAGAGCTAAATATGAATATTACAATAAAAACATAAGTTGGAGGTGCACAAATGTCTTGTGATACCAATTTTAATCCTGAACCAAAATTCTATAGTAAATCCATGTTTGAACATGTAATATCAATGTAACTCAGTGGTCAAATTTTCAAGAAGTCATTGACTACTCACAAATGTGGTGATAAAATATTGCAGAGTGTTTCCAATTTAGAACAAACTCCAATTGCTTCTCTTGATCATTAGTTTCATCTTTATATCTCAATGATTCACTTTTACTTTCTTCCTGGAAAAATTTCTCTGAAAACTTCGACAAGTTTTTCATTTCCCATTGAGAATTTAACCAACCATAACCGAAGAGATCATTGCACTGTAATATTTTAAAAATACAAAATACAAAATAATTCGAATTCTTGACTTTTTCTTTTGTTTATTTTTACTGAAGTCTACTATGTTGAGAGCTCAACCACCTAGTTATCAGAGAAATTCATATGACCTGCAGAATTACATAGATATGTACAATACAGTTAATTAAAATTTGGGAATATTGCCATCTAATTTTCTTGTCAAGATGGGACACAAACCCAATGACACTACAATGTTACTTGTAAGTCTGAGTCTCTCAAATTTTATTACGTAAGTGAAAATCGATTACAAATTTTGTGAGCAGAAGCAAAAAATCCACAGCTTTAGTTCTATTGTTCGGTCCAATAACATGCCACAATAATTTTTTTCAATTTATGTCTGGCAATTCATGTAACATTTTATAATCTGTTAATCTTTTTTTTAGCATTTATAGTCGTTCAAATGTCAGGAAAATTGAAATTTTTTCCCACAGTTGTTAAATTTTGTTACAGTATTCATTATTACTCTGTGCTTACTTCAAAGAGGCTTCTGAAAAAATTATACGCTGCCTCATCAAAGATCTTCTCCAAATCTTTGTTTAAAATATCCGGTAAACTGGAGTAAGCTTCTAAAAAATTTGATGCCATGGATCCGAATTCCTGGAAAATTTAATATTTCAGGTCAGATAAAAGCATAAAAACTATAGAAATAAACCAATTTATCAATTATAGGGCACGGCTCTACACCAGTCCTGTACAAACAATGGTAAGCATTCCCAGTGCTTGAATTCAAAATATGGAGAAAGCCATATCTGACTTAGTGAACATGAATATATGAATATTTAGTGATACCAGATTCACAATTAGTTCACAAGGGAAATATTTTAAAAAGATTACAGAAATGACTTCAAAAACCAGATATGAAAACTGTTTCAGTTGTAATGTGAATGATATAAAACAAAATGGGTACACCAATTTTAAAAATGTTTATTACCGATTTATAGAAACACACCAAAACCTTTTTAACAGTATATAAAGCACATATATAGATTTGTTTCAGTCCTTATAAAAGCTAACAAGGGAACCTTAATATTTGGATTTTTAGGCACCAATTACAAAAATTTCAATCCCCACCATTGATCAAACTAATTGTGTAGAACGGGTTATATAAAAGTCGAGTTTTTTCCAGTTTCAAAATTGATATAAAATGTTAAATGACGAAGATCTATAATTGAACTAGAAGGTGTTTAGGAAAACCGTAATTACCTTAATTTTATCTTCTAAGCATTTTGAAATCTTTGCCAGCCAAATTTTCTGTATAAGTTCTGACTGCCATTTACAGTTGAAAATTTGAGTCAGATTCTGAAAAGACATCTGAGCATTATCTGTATGTATTTGACTTACGAATTCTTTTTTATTTATTCTTATTTAAAGTGAAAGCCAATACAGCAATTTGAGCATGCAGAAAAACCTGAACCTTTTATCCGGTTACCATGTCAGTTATAGCAAATAATGACCAATTGTGCTTTTAACTATTTCACATGCCTAGACGAGGAAACATGGCATGAAAGACGAAGAGGAAACTGGATAGATGTTGTACACCGGGTCTTCAACTATCCTCTCATTTATTTATCTCATACTTCTTTTGAGAAAGCGAATAACCACCCTATACATTTCAGTCTATTCTAGCAGTCTTCCACTTTCTATTTTCATGCTTGCATTTACAATCTGAAGCCATCAAAAAATGACTTACGTCAATATTATTCCCGAAGAAATTTTTCCAACAATTCGTTATATCGATGTTGATCTTCTCGATAAATGTTTCAGCTGCCTGAGCAAATCTTATCACTTGACCTTCTGTTCCATCTCGTAAAACTTTGCAACCCTGAAACACACTCGTATTATGTACTGTAAATTTTTATATTTGCAGAAAAAGTTTATAATTCTCTATTTTTTCAATTCAGGGATATAGTCAAGGGATGAGAGTCAGAATCCCCTTTTGAAATTTTTGGAAGACTGGAAAATTGGCTAAATGCATGAACGATTGCATTTTATTAAAATAGTCAGTTGGTTGTTTTTGTCTGCGCGACCTGCTATGCAGGCCATAAACACCTTCACGTTGGTATTTATTTTCCTTAAATGCAAGTCTCTTCCATGAGGACGACGACAATTACTTTTGGATTCTTGAGCGTGTGTTTGTTGTGAAAAACAAGTTATTATATTATAATCTAATCATCAGTGATTCTAAAGCTAATAAAAGAGTTCCCATCATTTTTTTTTATTGAAAAGTGGCTATACTAAAATAAAACAAAGGGAAAAGCCATAAGTTTTGTTTTTGAAGGCCCGCAACAGATTCAAAACGCTTTTACGAGTCATTGTAAATCGCCATTGATTGAATACTTTGCTCCATTAAAAACTGTACTTTTCGGGATTTTAACGCAGACCTTGAGATTTTCCTAATGACGATATCTCAGAAATATTCTCAAGTGGCAGTCAGTTCTGAAAGAGTATCTCAAAGTTGACAAATCCCAAGATTGCAAAAGTTGGATCCATTTATCTATTTATATTCGGGTAGTTTAAATTATCCAGTGCTAAAGTGCCAGTGCTAAAAGGATATTGGGGTGGTAGTAGTGTTTTTATTTAATCATATGTTGACAAAAAGGTGAGTTATTATGATGTATACAGTTAAATGAATATAGCAAAAAATTTGAAATGCAGGCATTAGCCAGAGATTGAATATTTTACACAGTATGTGTTTGATTATTTAGGTACAGTACATGTATCTAGATGGGGAGGAATTTTTAAATAAAAACTTCGACCCTCAAACTACTATGGCATGTTAAAGGATTCAAATTCATCAATCCCACACCAGTTTGTCAGCAGTGTCAAGATAAAATAACAGCTTATAATACTTAGCCCAATGTGTCATTCAAGTCGCTAGAGTATCAAAGTGCAAAACATAATATTTCTGCATGTAATTATGATCCCAATTCAAAATTCATTTATTTTGATTATTCCTAATTTTAAACTCATTCAAATTTAATTTTATAGGTGGATGTGTCACTCTCATTCAACATTTAAAAGTCTCCCAAATGCTAAGCCACAACATTAATTTTAACTTAAAATTGCTCACCGAATCAGCATTGACACATTTAGACAAAATGTTCATTGTCCAGATTAACACTTTCCAATTTAGGTCTTTTTTCAAAGTAGCTTCGACTATATTTTCAACAATGAAAATAATCAAATGTGGCTCTTTGTTTCTGAAGAATATGTGCTATATATTACAAGATTATTTATCATTTCATATCATTCAGCTAATCTTTAACTACGAGCTTCATGCTGCTGACAGCAGCTGGCATGGCCTTATTACACTTATCTTAAACTAAAATGCAGAAAAACCGATAATTAAAATAGGTATGAAAGTAAAGCTGAAGTTTTTTAAACTTTCAATTATTGACAAATATTGATGAAATCCCCAATATTTTAAGAATGTTCAAATTCTTACATTCGAATAGATCGCAATTATAAAATTTGGAAATAGATAATTTCTTTTCAGGTTGGAATCAGATATGTGTTCTCTAACGACTAAGAACCAACTGGTGTTAGATTTCGTTTTATTCAATTTTGTAAATTCAAGTTTCATACAATTCAACTTTACAATTCCGAAAATTTGGTATTATACTATTTTTGTGAACAATATGAAATTTTTTTTCAGTTGGAAATTTGTTTATACGATTTTAGCACCGATTGCAATGGTAATAAAATGAATAACTTTGAAATCAGATTTCGAAGTTCAAATGAATCTCACATTCCTATGCTTTTTATATCACTACAGAAAATTCATTTGAATAAACTGTTATACCAACTTCATCTAAGTATTTTTGTGTTAAAATTACCTGTTCTCCTTTACACAAACATCGTTTACAAATTTACTGAAATATCTATCAACAGCTTGCATGTCGGTGAGTTCCTTTGAAAAAATTATGTCATATCAATTATAGGTAATCCCATAGTATGTGAACCAAGATGGCGGAAATCGGAACGTAAGATATGTACCAGGTTAGGGTTAGGCCATAATTTCAGGTACAAATACTACAGGATTCACTTGGCTAGTCCCCGAACTGGTAAAAAAAACTATTGTAAGAAAAATTGTAATTAGATTATGGCCTAACCCTAACCTGGTACACATACTACGTTCCGGTGCCCGCCATATTGGTTCACATACTACAGGAGCGCCCAATTATAATAGTGCTCAGCAGTCTACTTAAAGCAAGAAAAATAAAATAGTCACAAAAGTATATTTTTCATCTTCTGAAGTTGGCTGCAGAAATTGGAATTGTAAAAAAAAGGGGAAATAGGCCAACTCTTTTGGCACGAAAACAATTCGGTTGTCGCTTCCTGAGACCCATTCTTGGATAGCAATATTTGAGAAGATATATTATAGGTTTGATATTCGCGAAGAAGATTAACACACTATTTCAAATTTTGGCTGAATATTCTTTCATTTTCATTCAATTGTTGGATTGTTCCTACAGTTTAAAAAAAATGCCCCCCATAATACTTTATAAACTCTTTTGTTTTAGTCACATCTTAAAATCAATGTTTCATGCAAAAAAGCAGGGGTGGGCACACCGATGCTCGCGTGGCGCATGCGGCTCGCCAGACTTTTTGTGCGGCTCTTCTCGCTAACATAAATTATTATCTAAATTCAAGTCGCAAATCCAAAGTCGTAAAAAAGTTTTCGTCAATGATTAAGACAAATTATGTTTTAGTATGAAAATCGCTGTAGCGTTGAATTATGAATTTGAGTCATTCAAGGCAGCAAATCTTTCGTCACAATGGTAATGTTTATTGATGTGTCGGTGGTATTGCAGCTTGATTGCGGTTAGTCTGAGTTACTCTGCGAAATGTCCTCAAATAAAAAAGGAAAGTACGGAGATGAAAACAGAGTTGTCAAGTCGGAATGGGAAAAGAATACACATTTACCAGTCAGGAGAAAAAACTTTTGTGGTTAATCTGCCATAAACTACTAAGTCAGAATAATCAGAATAAAGTCAGCAATGTTAAACGGCACCATGAAACGAATCATGAAAACTTCTTTCGAGATTACCCTCGTAAATCAGCAAAAAGAAACACAATATAAATGAGCTCAAATTGTGCATATATTTGAGCATAGCTGCCTTGTTTATCTATCTATTGTAATTAGACTCTTGTGTGAATTTCTTTTCTATCCATTTTATCTTGCTAATATTAATAAATTCACAAATTCTGCGGCTCTTTTAAAGTTCTGACTTGCAGCATGCGGCTCTTATACTAAAAAATTGTGCCCACCCCTGCAATAAAGAATAACAGGGACAAATTCCAATACCAAAGTAAAAACTTACCAATTTTCCATCTTTCAGATGAGATGACAAAATCGATACAATGATTTTAGGATCAAAACGTAAATCCTGATGTTCACTTAGCAAAGTCATCATGCCTGTGCACTCCATCATGTTGAAATATGGCCTTGCAATCCATGGGTGAAGTTTGCTTAACTTGACAACTTGTTCAAAAATATCTTTGAGACGTCTGTTGTTGTGTGAAAAAATGAATTAAAATGATACTTATTCTCTGATATATTTTTATATAATCTCAAAATTTTTATTGGAATTTTTTTTAAATAAAACCACTATACATGTTTCCTACCACACGTTACTTTCGAAACTTTTGGATATTTATATTCTGGTAGCAAGATATTTGGAAGGTATTTCACAAGGAGTTGGAAATAAAGAAACGTTTTACTCCAAGCTAATGCCATCTATAGAACACACTTTTAGTTTGAATTATAAAAGATATAGCATGCCAGTGGTACATTGTGGTTATCTTTAGAAATGCACTTCTGATTTTTGTCGGCTTTTCACAGGTGTTAAAAGGCTGAATCGTAAGTCTATACTACCGGGTAGGTTATTACTTTCTTTATGGTAATCCACTGAAATTCTGGTCTTCATGAAAAAATACAGTAAAATTGACATTGTTGGCTGTGTAGTGCTTCATATAGAATGCAGACACATACATAGAACCGGTAATAAATATAAAATTCAGTTCAAGACCAAGTTACCTCTGAGAATAATCACTTTTCATATTTTTTAATACGGAGGCCCAGTCCTTCCCCATTGTTTGTGGCAATTCAACATCACAGTTAGAGTCTTCAAATGTAAAATGTATGTGCTTGTATTCTTCATTGTTTATCAACCAATATAATGGCAGAGCCAAAATCCAGTCTGGTTGATTCGATTCATATATATTTTCAAAAAGACTGCTTATTACGTTCTTGAGATTCTTGCCATATCTAAATTGGAAGATATATTTTAATTTTTGAGACTTAAAAATTGAACCATGTGATCAAATAGGTAAAATAAAATGTACATCTATGTCAAGGGTATACCGACATCTTATACAGCGACTGCATTCAGAAGATCTATTTTTCAAAGGGCTGTATATGATGTCCCATTTGATTTGAAAATGTCAAATTTAATAATGACTGACATTGTTGAAATGTAGATGAAAAAAAAATATAAATAATATTTTAACAATTCATAGTTTACATATTTCCGACAATGTTCAATGATTTAAAATTTTAATTTTGTATGTACCGTAGTTGTGACAAGTTTTCACAAATTTCTCCAAGACAGCGGTTCTCAAAAATTGGGGCTAAGTGAGCCCCAAAAATTAACAGATTGAATATTGAATTGATTGGTTATTTTACATATTATATTAATTATGAATGTTTTATTGCTTCTTATTTTAAATGTGTATAAGAGTCAATGAATCCATTTCAATTTTCTATGTCATTCACTTTCTGTTATACGGAGTATCTGCCTCTATTGTTACGTAGCAATACGGGTAAACACTGCTTGCTGCAATTTCAAGAGATGGTGTTTATTTATCTGCTGAACCGAGTGATTTTTTAGTATTTCAACGAAACATTTTACAGTACACATTAACGATCACAAATTTTGGCCATGCATATTTTCTGATAATTTGGTGCCGCAAGAACAAAAAGTTTGGGAACCAGGATTTACATATATATTCCGGAGTGGAAAGCCGATAAGACTTAATCATATGGTGAACCACAACCTCTCATCAGTTTACCAGCCCATGTCGGGTATGAGATTTTATTATCCTAGCACAATGCTCCACACCAGCGAGCACCGTTCTAAGAGTTACACAATATACTTTAGCGAGCTGCTTGAGCCCGTGGGCCGCAGTTCGCATATCCTTGATCTAAATGCTTAATGACATTTATAAAAAAAAACATAACTAAATAATTTTGAGTGCGGTATTTTAGGATTAACTTAAAAGCGGATATGATCGTGATAGTCAAGTTACAACAGGTTTTATTGGCACAGAATCCATGTGATAAAATCCATTCAGAAAGTAATGGTAACCCATACACATTCGTACAGAACTAGGCTCTGTATAAACCACTACAGGAATGTATAGGCATGCTCATTTGCCCTGAACTCGAAATTAGAAATAAAACTAATGCATAGTTGTTATTAATTAGATTTATACATTTGCTTTCACTCTGTGCATACAACTCCCGAGTATGGAAAATTCAAAAGATTATTCCATATTGTACTCAAAAACTACTGTTCAGTGTGAACATATGTGAACTAGGCTCTGTTTGAAAAACTACAGAAAGTGAAAGAGAGGGTTAACCCACAAATTTGCTTTATCCCAGACTAGGTACCAGCAACATGAGTTTGCTGAGTTCTTAACGACCATTACTGGAGGGTATAAATTAGACTCTTTTCAAACAGGTTCGTAACCCGACGCGGCGTTCAGCGCGGGCTGGCCATCGAGACATTCGCTAAAATAGGTCATATACAATATTACCAATCACACATTTGCACTGAATTAGGCTCTATAGAACTACTTATAGTATGGTATATTCTTTCACACCTAAACTCTGGACTAGGTGTTGTACAAGCAACTACATGAGAGTCTGGGAATATTAATTACCACATCTGTGGAAAATTAGCAATTGCTCAAAATAAAAGAATTCACTTCATTTCAGCAGTTTTAGTAATTGCTTGCAAGAGACTTAATTGTGTAATATAACACTTCAATATTTTGAAGTAAATGCTTGCATAAAGTCACAATCAAAACGATGTTTAAATTTAGAGCAGTGGTTCTCAATCGAGACCGGTTGCCCCTAAGAGGGCCACAAAGCAGTTCATGGACAGGGGGTTCTGGCACGACACAAGGCTAATAATTGATCATAAGGTGACTTCGTTTGCATAATTCCCTTTTGAATAAAATTCCCCGTTTTGGCATTCACCACAGTTTCATTACCTAACTAGGTTATTAGCGATCACTGAATGTATTCAAATGAATTGTAATCACATGAGCATGATTTGTTTGATCATAATAGAATTTGGAATCTACTAATCAAAATAGTTCGCTGGTAACCTCCAGACTGATAGATAACCTTCGCTATCGTATTATAAACGCATTTGTAAATTCCTGATGCCCATAATAAAAAAATGAACGACAGTTACTTTGGCTTTACCAAAGTAAATCGAGATGACACATAATGTGCTCCATGCCTGCATTACTCACAATGAGCAGTGATTATTACGTCCACCTAAACTCACCGTGACAAAAATCATACACAGATGAAAGACTTTGACATTTGTTTCTGATAGTTCAATTTGTCAGAACCTATTTGTGCCAATCTGGTTTTTCTGATCTAGTTGACAACAAAACCGTCTTAATGTTGACAGTAACATTCGTCTGGCTATATCAAAGACGGTGCCTAATATAAGGAACCTCGTCAGACAGTCGCAGTTACATAACCTCTGGTCAAGTTACAGCTCCCTCAACCATTCCATGCACATTGAAAAATTAACAGAATAACTAATATCCCGTCTGGACTGGTAACTTGACAATAGGTCTCGATCATTGTATCCATTGAAAATTGTATCTCCAAAATGTTCGTGTGCCATCAAAATACTTAATTAAATCGCTATTGAAAAGAAGATAGCGGAAGCAATTGATATAGTGTAATTTTCATCTTACCTAAATTCTTTTGCATCTTTCTTGGTCTGTGCATGAAGAGCTTTTTGTTCATTTTCTGTCAAGTTATGCATGGCCAATGCTTTGCAGATGATGTCATGATCACGAGACTCAATTTTCAAATCAGGAGAAGTCATTACAACAAATGTGATCATTTTAGAAATGTTCTCAGAAGGTGTAAAACCTTTAACCTTATTCAGCGCATCTCTATACACCTGTAAGAACAAAAAAACTAGAAAGTATTGATACGAGCTTCTGTCAATGTTTTATAATATGTTGTTTCTTTTTATAATGTGTTTAACATTTGTACGTGAATGAGCAGAAGCAAAACATCAGTAGCTTTTTGGCGCTCCAGAAGTATGTGAACTAAGATGGCGCACAACCTGAACATAGTATGTGTACACGGTTACGATCCAGGTTGTGCGATATTTTGGTACGATACTTCCAGAGCGCCGTTTTTTTTAAACATGCTGAACAAACCATCAAAGAATAACCATAACATGTGTAATAACAAAACAACGAAAAGGAAAGATTAAGATATCGATCTTATCAAATTTATACCAAGAGCAACAATTGTCGTTTTCATAGGTATTATTCTAACCATAATATCCCTAACTAACCTGGGAAATGTTTTCTTTATGCATTTTTACATCAATATCGTTTGGTGCATGAGGGACCTTTAGTGTCCAACCCGTGCCAATTTGATGAATCCATGAACGCAACTTTTGCTTCCACGGAAAGAAATCTTCCTCATCTAACAAGAATTTTGGTATCTCAGTTTTTAAAATATTTTCCCAAACGATGTCCTTGTGCCGTTGAGGCTGAACCTGTGGCTGCCGGTTCATAACATCAAACGTTGCGACTTGATCAAATCCTGGAAAACATTGAAGTAAAAAAGATGTTGGCATTTGAATTGGACAAGATGAGTTTGCTTTCAATAAGTTGTTTTTAAAAACGCCAGTAGAGCCAGTTTATCTAGTCCGAGGGTGTTTGTATAAATCAGTTTTCTGATGAACTAAAGATACTCGAATTAGCATGGAAATCATTAAATACCCATAGCAAACCACCATGCAGAAATATCGCTCAAAATGTAAGGAAATCCAATACGAAAATAAGTTAATTCTTTTTCCTGAAAGTTACAGCCATTTAAACAAACTTAGGTGAAATTATTTTAAAGAAAAACCATCGCAATTCAATAGCAATAGCACATTCAATAGCGGTACTCAAATACCTTTTTCTATTTTCTGTTTTCTTACTCCAACCCTTTCTCCGCAATATAATTCCTCAGCATCTAACGCAGAAAAACGCATTGCAACCTTATATTTTAGTTTTTTAGTATCTGCTAAAATTTTCGTAGTAGCATAGTAGAAGTGATTTCTGTAAAAGATTTTGACAAATGTGCATAAGATTCATGAGTTACAAAAATCAAACTGTCATTTGGTAAATGTTTTTGAAGTGTTGCTTTGTATCTACAATGCTATTGCTGTATTGTGAGTAAGGCTCTATAGAATCCGTAATACTGTAACATGAGTGTGATGATAAAAGTTTAAAAAGAATTCTCAAAAGAAAAATATTTTACTTTTTTTCATAACAGATTTCCTTTTTGCCCAACTGACAGACGAAATCATAATCCTTATTGGCAGGTACTGAATCATCAAATCCTTCCAGTAGTAGATACAGATGCAATTGTATGGATTGATCTTTGTTTTCTGAATCTGAAATTTCGAAATCTCAATTCAATATATCATGATGCATGTTTTACCACACAATGAAATTTAAATTATTCAATGCACAATGAATACTCACAGGTTGGCAATGAAGTTGCAAAATGTCCAGCCATGCTAGCCAATTTCAATTACTAGCTTCTTTTAGAACAAATCATTTTCATATTAATAAATATCACCAATACCATAGCTGTAGATGCTAAGAATATAAAATATAATTGTAATGAGTTTGCTCAGAGCTGTGTATGGTTGGACTGCGTTAATGCCTAGGCTATTGGGGGAAATCCTGCATGGTAGAAGACCGAGATATTGAATCCACCATCTTTACTATTTTCACAACCCAAGGTTATCTACCAAAATAAGACAAAAAAGTAATATTCGTTAAATAAAACCACAAACTTAATGGGATAGATATACGATATCCTTCACTCTCACTATACCATATCAGAAGCAGATACATGACATTATAAGAGCGAGCAAATCTGTCATTTTCGCAGGTATTGCTCTGCCGCTATAGTTCACTGCAATTACGGAGACGTTTCGAAGACAAAAATATGTTTCACCCGTATATTCGTTCAACCCGATATTGTCGTTAAAGTAATGGAACCTGATATCTCCATTAAATATGCAGATCCAAACCTCGGACAACGTAACTATGCAAGTTCGAATAATCCAACATTTATCTATTCCATTGCCTGCTACAGCCTGATGTAAGCACGGGCGTTGGTCTTTGCTGTGACATAGGGAATGACTCAATTCTTATGAGGAAATAGCGTTTGAAATATGACGGAAGCCAGGATTACTGTGAAAACCGATAACGCATCAGGTTACCATATACAATTATTAACGCAGCGCTTTCAACAGATTGCTACGAATGCCAATAAACAAATCGTGATCATTTTATACGACTGGTCCGTAGCATATTATATGGATTATATTAACGCCTGGATTGAAGACTGTCCCAATAAAGTGAAATAAACGAGATAGCGGTCAGAGACCGCCGACTTATCGATCTAGCGGCGTGTATCCTTCGTTCTGACTCAATAGCGACACCGCGTGTCCCATCAATATATAATTAATAACTCGCTAATTATACGACATATTTCATCCAAAATCAATAGGCTTCTGGTCCGAGATATGAATGCACATGCAAAATTTTGGAGCAGATTCAATCTCGCTTTCGTGAGATATCGTGTAACATACGAAAGTGTCTAACAGACAGACAAACAAATATTTGATTTTGCTCAAAGTCAAGTCACGTTTCCTACACTAAAAGAAGAACGTAGTTGCACGCGACAGATGTATATGAATTGGCCATATACGCATATTTTGGCGGTAAACACATATTATCCTTAGCGCTCAACGTTTTGGTAAATATGACGAAACGCCTAGTTCAGCTCTACTCGGAAAATGAGAATTCGCACATAACTTGATTGACTGTGTATGTAAACTTGGATTTCAGCACAAGCATATGAGTAGACTGTATATGAATTACATGTTACCTACCTCACCGTAATCTTACCTAGCTAATCCGTGATAAACAACTTGAAATCTATAAAATGCATATCACGATTTAACAGACAACAATCTAGCTTTCGTCTTCACATGAGAGGGCTATCATATGCTATAGGGAAGTAAACAAATGAGTAGATGCTCGGAAAGACATGCACTGCTATAACGTCCCATTTATTTTGTGGGGGTTTTGCGGAAAATTCAATACAACACAACTGTAAAATAATAAAAAGAAATAATGCTTTCAAAAAAGATCCACTCAATGTGTTTTCCAATTACGTGTACGCATCATAGTTAATATTGCGTTTTTTCTTCTTAGTGGCTTATGCATTTTTAAAATTTCGGCGGTTTTGGCTTCAGAAACAAACGCCGTACAACAGTCATAGTTACGACATATTCCGTGCGCAGATGAATAAAAAATGCATTTTTTATTTTGTCCATTACAATTGAGGTCGTTCGAGGTACACAACTAATTTATAAGCGACCAGTGGTTTTTAAAATAACTAAAATGCAACATGATTGCACATGATTGTTTGGCTGTATGTATAAACTTGGATGATTGCTCGCGTCTTCACGCTTGACCGCGTATTGCTTCAAACGATTGGATACTTGCCGCAGCTGAAAGCGAGGCGCTCGCTCCCAAAATTGGAAATTCAAAACCAAACGCGGTCAATCGTGAAGACACGAATTATCAGCAAATTTAAAGCCCGCTCTTCACGTAACAAGATAGCTTTGTGCCCGTCAATAATACGCGGAAACAGAAAGTCTGGATGTTTTTGTTCTTTGTATTCCATCCATAGCAGAGTTAAAAAAAAATGATTGCTGTACATCACAAAGTTATATTTAGTTAAGTTGATTCACTGCTATATGTAAACGAAAGACGCCTCGCTTGCTAGCTCCATCAATAACAAATGTTTTTCAGTCTTTCGTCGCGTTTACTTTGTGATTCTTAATGACATTTTATCGATGTCGTTAAATAATTCAAACAAAACGATAAAATCATACTACTGACTATATTTTTTAATATTCACTTTTAATTCACTCAATAAAAGGTGAAAGCCTTTTTATATATTTTAAAACTCTAAGACCACAACATCAATGGACTTTTGCGTGCGCCATATAATTTATTACCCAGATACAGAATGAACTCCCAAGACATTTGGATTAATAAACTTTTGAGTGCGCCATATAATTTATTACCCACATGCAGAATGAACTCCAAGAAATTTAGATTAATGAATATTTGCGTGCGCCATATACTTCATTACCCACATACAGAATGAACTCCTAAGACATTTAGATAAATGAGTATTTGCGTGCGCCATGTATTTTATTACCCAGATACAGATTGAACTCTAAAACAGAGTTCAATCTGTATGTGGGTACTTCAGTTTCTCTCGGCGAGCGTTTTTTGAAGCACGTCATGGCGGCGCTTCCGATTGAGCGACACGTTCTTTCACATTAATTTAATATTTTGTAAATTATAGCTGGCATAGTTATAGTATTGTTGGTTAAATTCCACGCCCAAGGATATTATTACTACACGAGTACTACACGAGTATCAATCAATCTAGGGAAAAAATTAAAAGCAAAGTATACACCCAATTTCACGAACTTGTGGATGAATCTACATAACCTTTCCGCGCTAGAAACATGCAAAGTCAGTCACATGCTACAAAAACCTTAATTATTAAATCTCTTGGATGATAACAATTGATTACATAATAATACACATTTGTGTACAGCCCCAACGAAATTAGTTTTTTTTAAATAAAAACGACATTTCTATTCTCAAAACAATACAAAATGAAATGAAAATTTAATGCTAACTTGCACGTTACTTAATTGGCTGTAGATGTAGACTTTGATACCTACATTAGTAGACGTGTTGACGGTATATACATTGCATGCTACCAACCTTATCCATATCATATGCGTAAAATAGCAGATTAAGATCTAATGGATACGTTCCGGTTCATATACCGATAAAATACCCTAGCTAATGAGGCATATAGGCAAACACATTTTCCAAACAAAGTTTTGTAAAACTATACAAAAGGAGTTTAAAATACTTTGCATTACAAAACTAATTGTAACACATACCTAGTAGAATTCCATAAAAGCTGTAGAATACTGCTGTAATATACAAATATTAACGCAGAGCGTTAAACAAATTGCTGCGAATGCCACTAGCAATCGTGATAATATTACTCGACTGGTCCGTAGCACATTATATAGATCCTATTATCGCCAAGTTTGCAGACTGCTCTAATAAAGTGAATTGAATAAGGAAGAATGTTGCCGGGACCCCCTTATAAAAAAATGATAAAATATCAGTGATAAAAATTGATAAAACCGGCCTTAAATTAATCTAACAATAACTAAATTATTAAATGTACCGTCATTTGGGCAGTCAGGGCTGCGATCGTCTATATTGAAATTGTTAATTTCCGGTATGGTAACTTTCAAAACCCCTAATCTTGAACGCATGTCTGCACCGTTGTGTGCCGTTATTCAGCTATTGGCTTTGACATCGTTTATGACAGGGGTGTGCAACCTTTATTGCAGGCGGGCCAGATATCAATAACTGGATAAAACCGCGGGCCGCACCTTCATCCAACATAGGCTTTCTATTAGTTGCAGGCACAAAATAGTGTCTTTTTGTAATTGATCTCATGGCATTATTAGGTATTTTTGCAGAAATGATGAGTTAAACGCATAAATTTCTGAAATCTGTTATTCAAATTTATTGTCACAACTAATTTAAACGAATCCAATGAGCTATTTGCTGCTGGATTGTTTTCCGACTACTTTTATTATCCAAATTTGCTTTAATTCGAAGTGCTAGCAACTCGATATCCATTTTCCAAGTTTTCGTTTTTATGGCAGTCATGAAACCGCCTAGTAAAAAGATAAAAAATGTGTTGAATCAAAAAGTGCCATATTTTAAGCCATGACTTGTTTCAAATGTGGAAAATTTTCTTGGTTGATATGTTTTCGGTAAAAATCGCCAGGATTCATCCTCAAATGATTTGCTGTCAAATCGTATTCTAGATTAGATTTGGACAAAATCACCTGATAGGCTGGAACCAAAACTCATTTAGCTTTTGTATCTATTATTAATAAATTTTTTAAAACTGCTTCCCATTTGCCTAATCCTCAATTGTCATTTATTACTAATTCATTAGCGTCTGCTCCACACTTTCCTCAAATTGCTCGCTGCTCAGCAAGTGACAGCTTTGTGAATCACTATCAGATTGGAATTCCCTTCAAACTCTTTGGAACCGTAAAATAATTTGCCGCTTCATCCTAAACGTAATTTATACGCGAGTTTTGCTACTCTAATGTCATAAAATCAAGTGCCATAAAAAGTCCATGATAGAAGTGCTGTATAAGTAAAGCACAAAACTACTCCAACACAAACAGAAGCTTATATGATTTGTTTCAGAAGTTTCTTGTAGATACAAATATTGTTGATATACCTGTGACCCACTCTTTTCTGTTCCGCGATAAAAATATAAATGTTGACCCATTCATTGAAAAAGATTCGCCATCCCTGTCTTAAACATTTACGCAGCATACCGGCACGCTCAGATAATCTCCATTTGAGGCGCTTCGAATTACAGACATTTTAACGTGGTTTTATCAAAGCTTACGGCCCAGGTATGATTCGCCTTTAATCTGACA